ATAAATATAAATAAATAAATAATAAATGAAATAATAACTAAATAATTATTTAGGATAAATAAATTATTAAGGATAAATCAAAAATAAATAATAATGTTAAGTAAGTATTTAAAAAGATGATAAATAAATATAAATAAATAAATAATAAATGAAATAATAACTAAATAATTATTTAAGATAAATAAATTATTAGGGATAAATAAAAAATAAATAATAATGTTATATAAGTATTTAAAAAGATAATAAATAAATATAAATAAATCAATAATAAATGAAATAATAACTAAATAATTATTTAGGATAAGACCGTTTTTTTTTTTAAATTTTTTGACATTTTAATTTCATTATTGAAGTTGATTAAATGAGTTAGCTTTTCGATAGGGTGAGCATTGCCCACTTTTGAGGCCTATGCCAAATTTGTTGAGGGAATGCAGCCAGCGGCAGCTGCTTATCCTGCTCACAAATCGCGCAACTTCAACTGAAATTGCAAAAGTGAAGGTGTTGTTGGCTTCACGTTTACCTGACTGCCAACAATACCAACAACAATTACAACAGCAACAACAACAACCACAACAACAGCAACAGAGACAACCAAACAAAGAGCTGAGGAAGGGAGGCCAAAGCAAAAGTCAATTCATGTCGCATTCAGCTGTCTTATTAAAAACTTGGCTGGCCAAATATTGCGGCATACTTCCGCCTGCTTGGCCAGCCACACACACACACACAGTGGAGCTGTATAACTGTATACATATATAAATATTTATAAACACATGTGTCTATTCAGACCTGAGCCGTGTGCAGCAATCGATGGGCTCGGTTAAATAGACTAGGTTGCGCCAGTGATCAGGTCCTGTTTCGTGCAGACTCTTCAGATAGCTGAGGAACTGGGCATAGGTAATGAGCTGACGTTGGCCACACTTGAGGTCATGGTGATAGGAGCACTTCTCGTCATAGACCCAACGGCGCTGATCCGGCACTTCGAGTTCGGGCAGCGGAATGGCCAACCTCTGCCGGGGATCCTTGCAGTAGAGCTCAGCGGTGACGTAGCTAGAATTGAACATGGTCATGAATGGCACTTGATGGCCGTAAAGCGAATCGGGACTTACACAAAGGCTTTGATGATCTTGTCCTTCACATATGGTAAATTGGCTATGTACTGCATTATACGTGTGCTCTGCGGCTGTTGCAGGAAACGTAGGAATATGGGCGAGAGAAGATTGAAGCGAATGCACCTTATTAGGTCCAGCACATATTCAACACGATCGGGCCAATCGTGGCTGAGCCAACGCACGGCCGAATAGAAGATCTGAAAGAGAACGAGGCGAAATGCAATAAAGAAGAAGAAAGAGGAGTAGAAATAGTAGGAGTGGAAGTAGGAGTAGAAGTAAGAGTAGCAAAATCCGAATAGCTCACCTCAATCTCACTGTTGACGCCGGCATTGGGATTGTCAAGGAGTCGGCTGACATAGTTGAAGTCCATTTCGATAAACTCCTGCGATGAGACAAGGGTCAGAAAGAAGCGACTGATGCGTGCGAAGCAGAAGAACTCAATGTTAGTCGAATTCATGTAGCTCATGTTGGGCATCAGTGAGAAGGACTCGTTCTCATTTTTAATAATGTCCAGAGCATTCCAGACGGCGTCGGTTATCTCCGTGATGCCTAGATATTTGGCCGAACTATAGAGTTCCAGTAGACTGCGAGCGCTGCATCGTTTCAGGGGCGGCATCTCCTTGAGCAGCATCCATTTGTAGATGAATTGAAAGGCCGCCGGGGTGACCTTATGCGATGGCAATCGCACCACATAAGTATCTTCCAGTTTTGGGCGTCGAAAGTAGGGGGAATAGACTTGCAGTACGCACTGAAAGCAATGGAACTTTTGTGGCCCCACATACACCTTAACATCCCATTTTTCGCCTGCCTGCAGTATTGGCTCCACCTGATCTATATAACAAGGCCGCTCGGGCTCCTCCCTATCGTAATGTATGTCATCGCTCAGATCAATCAACGGAATTAGTCGGAAACTCTCATCAGAGGACAGACTCTCATCGGAGTCAATGCGACTAAGTGGGATCAGGAAGGAGATAAGATATGAGAGGAGTAGACAGAGAAGCATATGATTGGTGTGAAATGAGAAGAAGAGTGAACAGAATAGAAAGCAGACGAAAAAGATGTAACTGTTCTCTTTTCAAAGGCGTGAATAGAGCAGTTGACAGAGATGAAAGAGGTGAAAAGAGAGGAGAAAAAGAAGAAATTTAAATAAAATAAGAACAAAACGGAAGAGAAGCGAAAAGAAAGATGAATCATACCTATTCATTTGCCAATCTGTGGATGACTCCTCACTAAAACACGGCTGGAAGGTTGAGCTGATGTCCATTTGGTCGGTGAAATCCTTTGCCATCTTACTATCCGAACTACTCTCAAGGCCTAGTACCTGTAAGAGTGCGAGGATTTATGGGAATTAGTAGTCCCAGCTATGCCAATTATATAATGGGTATATACCTTTTCGTCCGATAACTCTGATATTGGAAATTTCCCGTTGATGAGATCCTGCAGCTTCAACATCTTTGCAGTAAAGCTTTGTGAGCTGGTGGATTTCCTCAGCTTTATTTCGCTGCTCGACTTCAGACTAACCAATTCGTGCTCCTCGGAGTTAAGGTCGATCAGCTTTGACGTATCCCAAAGCACCTTCAGAATGTGCTCGTCCGACGATTCGGAGCTCAGCCGAAAGGTAGCCGCCGAAATCTTCACATCGGGAAGCGAATGTGCAGATGATGCAGGTGATGCAGGTGGTGTAGGTGGTGCAGGTGGGTCAGCCGAGCAGTCCGCTGCACTTGGCTGGTCGGTGACATCTTCGATAATAAAAGAATCTTCCATATAAACAAAAAATGTATATAAAACAAACTTAAAATTTTACAAATATAAAAGTCTTTTGTAAACAATTTTCAGGAAAAATAAATAAAATCAAACTTCAATTTGTCAGATATAAAAGTAAAAGAGAATTGTATTTCGACTATTGTCAAAAGTGTTTAGAAAATTTGTCAACCCGAAAAGCTTGCTATATAATGGAATAAATAATGTTATATAAAAGAAATTTCTGTTGAGTCAAGCCGTAAAGAAAGGGCTTTACTCTGCTCCATTTCGTGGCTGCATTTGACTAAACTCCACATAATATGAATCAACATTAAGCACTTACAACAGCAACAAAGCGAACAACTAAGCTGACTTTGGGGCCGCAGAGAGCAGAGAGCAGAAAACCGGCTTTCGAGCTGCATGCGATTACTTGGCCCAGCAGCATGTGCTGTAGAATAGGCATAGAAGCCAGCTAACTGATGCGAATTGCTGGAGGGTTCGTTGAACTAAACCAAAGCAACGCCATCTTAGGAGAGCCGCCTAGGAGTCCCCTCCACTCGCAATTACCAAGCCACTCCACTTAGGCCAAGTTTTCCAGTCAAGAGCAAGCCAGAGTCAGAGCAAAAAAGCAGTGCAAAAAGAAAAGAATGTGAATCTAGCTGCAGGCGCATCGCACGCGAGGTGTTTGTGCACACACACACACACACATACACACTTATTTCTATATTTTATATATACATATATATACTATACATATTAGGTATATAGCTTCCATAGCCCTGTAGCTTGTCAGTTTACTTGGTTTCTGGGCTCAGCAATTACCAAGCATCAGGAAAGGTTCTGACTGCAATGCACAAGTTCAAGGAACTGCCAGCTCTCTAATGCCAGCTGCTGCCGCTGTTGTTGTTGTTGTTGAGGCTGTTGCTGCTGCTGCTGCTGCTGCTGCTGCTGTTGCTCTTTGAATGGCTTTTCAATGTCATTAACTTGGCCAGAGTTTTTTCATGTTTGTCGCAGCATTTTTGCTTCCGCAGTTGCCAGCTGTAGCTCAGTCAGCTTCGGCTTCAATGGTTGTTGCTGCTCCCAGGGGCGTATTTATAAGGCGGCCATTGTCTTTTGCAAATACCCTGTACGAATTGTAAATGTGGGCAATACATATATCGATACTAGAGATATAATGCTAAATCGGAATGACTAAAATATGTTTAGATTTATATGAACTAAAATAAAGTAATATAATATAATAGTATATAGTTATACATATATATATTAGTATCATATAAGCCATATGAACTAACATAGGTTTAGTACATCTTCAAGTTACAAATAGAATATTTATTTCTATATCTCCAAGATAGAAAATCCATATGTAGCTTACAGGGTATCTCCTAGTCACTCAACAGCTTCTACTATTTTCTTTTACTGTCTCGTGTATCGCTGATGATTTATGCGAATGGCCCGAGTTCAGCCGCATCCTCAGCTCGCATTTGAGCTTTGCCTTCGCCTTTGGCTCTGACTCTGCCTCTGACTCTGCCTCTGGCTTTCGCTTTGTCTTTTCGATATTGTTATTGTCTAACTGTAGTTTGTCTTTTCTAACTGTAAATTCGCAAATATTTCATAAACTAATCCCCCTTCTCTTTTACTTTGCAGAGGATGCGCCTGGCACGCTAAACGCTGCCATTGCCGCTGCCGAGGCGGAAGCAGCTGCTCAGGATGCCACGCCCACAGCGAAGCCAGGCAGCATTGCGCCCAATGTACGTGTGCAGTGCCAGTCGGGCTCAATGCTGATCACGATCAAAGATGCGCCACCCAATCACGAGACGGGCCTGTTCAGTGGCATGATCTACCCGAAAGGCCTCTCCAAGAACTCCTCATGCCTCAGCGAATACAGGTGAGCAGAGTGTGCGTGTATGCGTGTGTGTGTGTCTGTGTGTGCCATACAGCTTAGATTGGCATCATCATCAATATCTCATCTTCTTCATTTTCTTTGCAGAGATCACATTGGCGCGCTGCGCTACAGATTGCCGCTGCGCAGCTGCAACACGATGCCCAAGGAGCGGGTAAGTCTTGTCCAGTCCAGCTCATAAAATCTAGGCACCCACATAAGTTACGCGATTTATGAGATGCCAGCATGTGGGGTTGTCTTGCCTTTTGCGACATGCTAATTGAGTTTTTCAACATTAACTGCTTATAAGGCACATTAGCTGACAGAGATTGGTTACAAGGTGACCCATCCATATGCCAGCTTGATTAGCCGACGAACTTGGCTGGCAAGACGCGCGCGCGCTGATTGAATCAAGCTGAATCAGTGCTTGTGGCTCTTTGGCATTCAGCTAATGACACGCTTATTAAGGTATTCGCATCATCAACTCGTTGACAATTGAACGGGAGGTGGCAGCCGGCGCACAGTAATTGCCATACGGATGGCGAAGCGTAGCTTAAGATTTGCCCCAACTGCAGCTCAAGTGGAGAGTTAACCATGCAGTATGTAGAGGTTAATTAGAATGCAATGAAGACGGCAAATGATGATACTTCCTCAGCTTTTCTCTATATTTACTATATCTTACATGGTTTCTCTCATTCTCTGTCTCTATTTTCTGTATTTCTCTGACCTCTGTTCTGAACTCTCACAGAATCTCTTTCTATCTCCTTCTTTTTCCCGCTCTTTCCTTCATGTATATATCTTCTCCTACCTAGTTATACAAAATTTATGAACTTGCTCCGCATAGATAGCTAAACAGAATACCAAAAACAACTTACTTTGAAAAAATATCAGACCTTTAGTCTTATCTTAAACGAGATTTAGCACAATATACTTTTTTATAACTAAACAAATTGACTGGGATCGCAACTTGTGAGATAAGTCGATGAGTCCAGTTAACCCAATCCCATATGCATGGCCAAATATCAAATGACCCGAAATGGTCAATAAATTGTGATATAAATTTTTAAGTTAGCTTGGGTATTACGGCTCAGATACATACAGATGTTGTAAACGCTGGCTAGATGTTGAATGATGCTTTTATGGCGTGGCTTATTTATTGGCTCATAGCATCGATTTACGAGCGTTTACGCACGAAGCTCATATAGATGTATGGACACATGTTTGTGTATATATTTTGAAATCTCAATTAGCACCCAGGCACAGATATATATGTATTTATGGCCAACACACACGCATGCGGCTGTTATTGTGTTACATTTCTTGTTTTTAGTGTAATTTTCCAAAGCTAAAGAGTTTTGTAATTTGTTGCTTTTGCCTTTCGCTCGATTGGCCTGACACAAATCGTTGAAATAATTGCCGTTCAGTGTGGCAATCGGGCGTGTATGTAGACTTTTTGCACGCACTCTGTGCCAGAATTTCGCAGCCAAGTTTGTTGCCTCAGTCTTTTGTGTTGGACACTGTCTGTCGCCGTTAAAGCGCTAAATAAATAACTATGTAATTTAAATAGCAATTAAATGAAAAGAAAAAACACAAGTTAAGTGCAAAATCAATATAAGCCAAGTGAAGTTACCTGCAGGTTTTTCTCTTTGTTGATGTCATCACCGTGGCCAGTCGACTGCTGACTGAGGCAGGATGCTGCGCTTACGTCAGCGTGGCAGATGAACTCAGCACAATGCACATTTGCATACAATTCCAATGAAAAAACCTATACACACACATACACACATACACTAGCATAACTGCCTGCACATTTATGGCATCAGCTTTTTATTTATGTAAAAAGTCGCGTGTCAACTGCCGCGAAAAATAAAAAATAAATAAATAACAAACGTTGCCACGCCATTGACTTCCAAGCGAGGCTTCACAACGACCCTGTTGTTATTGCTGTGCCTAAGGTAGTAGATGTTGTAGATGCTGTTGTTGTTGTTGTTGCTGTTTTTATTAGACTTGTTGTTGTGCATGCCAAGCACAATTAAATAAGCTATGAATATTTTAGCTATAAACGCGGTTTTTTGTTTGTTTTGTTATTTTACTTTTAAGATACATGTATTCATTAAAGTTTTCAATTAGCTGTTATATTGCATATAGGTAAAATGGAATATATGTATATCCTTATTAAGAGTGACAGCCTTGTCATATATTGATTTAATATCCATTTTTAGATAGAGTAAAAATTGCAATTAGCTAGGCAAGTAGTCTAGGTCATTAAATGTTTAATATTCAATAATATCGCTCCTTGAATAATCCCCTTTTTGATCAGCTCTTCCCTCTTTGAATAATCCTCTTTCCGATCAGCTCTTCCAATTGACCGCAATGTAGATTAAGATTCAATTAAGTCCTGAAGCCCAGGATATCTACTAGTTGGATATCTAATTTTTGGTCTCTTACTAATCATGCACATCAACTATACCACATATTATTTATACTATAGGGTATGTGCTTGCCATTCAATTCTATTCAATATTCACTCTACTGCCTGTTGTTCAGTTCAGTGTAAGCTAGACTCATTAACCTGCCCACCGAGTAGCCCTCTGTCTGTCATGTCAATTCTTTATTAATTGTTTTATTGCTGCCCTAACTGTGGCATGCAGGGTCAGCCAATAGGTTAGCAAGAGAGCGAAAGAGACAGAGACACAGATGTGAAGGGCGCTTTAATTAAATTATAATTGCTGTGAACAGAGAGTAAAAAAAAAAAAAAAAAAAAAAAAAAAACAATATTCAGAACTTGTAAGCCATGCCAGGCATTGATAAGCAACATTTTCCAAATTCAATTCCAATCAGACCGCGAATTGTGTGAACAGCAGCAACAGCAGCAGTAGCATCAAGTTTGTTGCCTAAGTCTTTCGTGTGAATCGGCTTATGCTCTTCAGGCTAAACAAAATCGATTTGTTCTGTGCAGTGCGCAGCGCATCTTTTATGATCTCGAGGCAACGTTGGCGGCCATTTGGTCAACGTTCAACGGCCGTCCATGAAAAATGCCAAAAGCCATGTATGTGTGTGCGTGTGTAAGCCATGTAAACATGCTTCTCTTATTGTTATTGATATTTTATTTATGAAATTGACTTTTAGCTGCTGTTCGACTGGAGCGAAGGTCGCTGCCCACGCAGCCCGCAGTCACGTAATATACGCTTAACGCATTGCCGTTGACATTTATGGATCTTAGAGCGTTGCGACTAAGTTGTGCATTTCTTTACATTGCCCATTAACATATCCGAGCAGCAGTCGACGCTGCTGTCCCATCTCAGATATTCTAAACCAGTTTATGAGAACTGTCGCACAGAAGTGTCATAATGACATAATAGCTGCCTGCTTCCATCTACCGTTATGTGCTCTTCAAATCTTAAATGTCATTTTATTACAGGCCATCTTATTGGCCTCCATTGTCTGTTCTCGCTGCTGGGGAACTGAGTTGGCTCACATAACTGTCAAACATTTATGACGTTCTGTCGTTGCCTGCACGTCAGGGAAATAGCTTCCCACTTTGATTTTTATGCGTTTGGACCTTTTGGGTGACGTCGCAGCCACTCAAAAAGCATTTCCGTGCCCAAATCTGTAGACAGACCCAATTATCAAAGACTTCCGAATGCGGCACGTACAACGAGACCCAAATACAATTGCCAGCAACCACGCGAGCAATTGATGGCTGAAGAGCCTAACCAAAGTATATATCTTAGAGATGGGCGGAAGAGTGTGTATTAATGCACGATTTGATATGGGGAGAAATTTATAAAAGGAATATATATTATAATATAGGCAGGCAATATATTCTGTAATCCGATATATGTATACAGAAACATAAACTAATTAGAGGGACGGGACTTAAAATATTTATAATCGATTCTTAAAGATATGTAGCTAACCTCAAACATTGCCGACTCCACAAAAATTTCTGAAGATATATAAGATATTATAGACATCGTATTATGCAGTCGTTGCCAGTTATCTGCAATATTATCTTTAAAAGCTCACGGCGTGTTTTAAAGACTTTGACACGCGATCATCTCTAATAGACACGCGATAGTATGGAGTATGTGTTATTTTATCTTTTGTTGTTGCTGTTATTATTGCTGCCCGCCAGCAAAATTAGCACAAGCACAAGCGCAATTACCGTTATGCGTGTAGAAAATAGAATGTGAAAGAAAGAGAAAAAGAACGAAAAGCTAAGTAAATGTGCCTCGGCCTGTGGATGAATGATATTAAATGTATAGATATAGGGGCAACTGGGCAGTAGAATGTCGGTTTGAAGATGAGCAATGATGCAATGCAGCAGATGTACAACAAGCAACAGGCAACAACAGACGCTCGCAGCAGATTGATTGCTTCAGCCAGAACTTGGGGTAAAAACCAAACTAAGCTGAACCGAAATGTAAATTCATTACGCAAACATTGCTAATTTGTGCGGATATGGAGATAAGGGCGGGCTTCACACTTGGCTGCACGAGCTTTAGCACAATTCTACAAAGCACAAGTCTATATAGATAGGTAGACTTGAGGAAGTGCTCGTGATCTAACGACGGCGACCTCGTCGCACATCAAATTTCGTGCTGGCAATTTTCAGAGGCAGCGAGGCGTGAATCTCTCCAGCTACAAGCCATATGCATAATGAGACACTGCAGCAGGCCCATTGTATGCACAGTGGGGCAAATCGAAGCTACGCTCATATGGCTTCAAAGACAGCATTTAATTTCAGCTTAGGTTGCATGCTGTGGCAAGTTTGTTGCCTAAGTCTTTTGTTTTGCTAGCACCATTCTATAGAAGAAGCGCATCAAATAGGAGTAGCTAGAGGAAATGCTTGAACGCTAACGAGCCGTCGAAGACTCAACTTGCATGCTGTGGCAAGTTTGTTGCCAAAGTCTTTTGCAAGTTTGTTGCCTAAGTCATTTCATTCACGTTCTGCTTCTCTTTTGCTCGTTTCAGGACGATGGCGGCATCGAGTTCTTCAACACAATTGTGCTGCAGCCGCACTTGAAGCTGATAACGGATCTGGGACGCGGCTACCATGTGCGCTGTGCCTACATGAGCCGCGACGCTGCCGTCAAGCCCAAGAAGCATAAGGTCGTCCATAAGCCACAAGCCTATCGCAGCGATGAGCACGACAGGCGCGACTATGGCCGCTCGTTGGACAAACAGCAGCTTGATGAGCTGGAGGATGATGATGATGATGTTTACGATGTGGATGCAACAGATAACAACGAGCTGCCTATGCCCGGCTGCCACATGAAGATCTACAACGACCAGCACAAAATCGCCGACGATGTGAAAATCGGCGATCCGCTGACCATTGTCATCAGCATCGACAAGCAGGAACTCTACGGCCTGCACGTAACGGATTGCATTGTCCGTGATGGCTTGGGCTGGGGCGAGCAGCGACTGGTGGGCGAGGATGGGTAAGTCAAATGGTATATGGCATGGAAATGGTAGCGCATTGCTCAAGTATTCTCTCTCTCTCTCTCTCTCTCTCTCTCTCTTGCTTCAGCTGTCCCATGGACAACGAGATCATGGGTCAATTTAAATATACGTCAGATCGTCTGGCTGCCAATGTTACCTTCCCGGCCCACAAATTCCCCTACACCACCTCCGTGTACTATCAGTGCAATGTACGTCTGTGCGCTCTGCAGGATCCCAGCTGCCAAGAGGCGCCTGTGTGCACGGGCAAACGACCCAAGCGACAGACAACGGCCGACGGCAAAGACGACGAAGCGCTGCCCGCTACCATCGAGGTCTTCTCTGGCCTCTATGTCAATGAGAACGAGAATGCCAACGATAGCGACGAGGATGCTGTCTACAAGGAGAAGGTGAGTGTAAATTGTTGTAGTAATAATGCGAGGGTAGTTTGATAAATGTATGAAATATAGCTGGAGGTATTTACTTTTATGTATTTCATTTATTTAATTGTTTCCTCTCTTTCTGCTCTTCTTCATCACAGACCCTGGAGGATGCTCTGTGCGTGTCGCAGCGCACCTTTGCCATAGCCATTGCCATTGCTGGACTCATTCTGATGCTGGCCGTGGTGGCCGCCGTGCTGTGCATTATGGCACGCCGCAGCACGAAGACGGTTTCCAACTCGGGCAGCTCCATATACAGTGGACCCTACACAAACACCGCCTTCTCGCACAGCAGCTAAAATGTGACAAACAAAAATTGAAAGCAAAAGAAAAGATGAAAAAGAGAAACTTTCGCAAATATTTCCAAAACTCAATAATGGAACACTCAAAGTGTTTAAAAAGAAAACTTTAAAATATTGAAAATCAAGCTAAATGCCAGCATTGAAGAAGAGCAAGAGCCGCCTGCGGTAGTCAAATGCAGTTTTAGTCTGTAAGGTCACAAGTTTTTAATTTAATAATATTACAAAATGAAATAATTAGGTTTTGCATGAAATGAAAAGAAATTTCCCTGTGCAGAGATTACCGGGCAATTTCCCCGTCATTAGCTAATTGCCCGCTAATGTCACAGAGTTAGTTGTGCAGTGCTGCCAAGTTTATGTATAGATAACTGGGGCAGCACCGCATTTCGGTAGCTCTGTTAAAGCACGAACTCACGTGTTGGTGTCGGTTGGATTCCACTTAGATTCTTATCAGAGTCAAACGCACACTCCTCGTTCTCTCTTGTAGTGCAGTCATTAAACTTTATAATTATACGAATATTGTATTTATCTTACTATTTAACTTGCTTAATTTAAAGAACTCGAACTAACAACGAATGCAGCAGCCGACGCTCAGGTGATATTTGTATTTGTACTTTAAATTTATAAAAAAAAAAAACACAAAAAGCAAAAATAAACAAAGGAGGAAACTAAGTTCCAATAAATCTGCCTATGTTCTTAGTTAAATGTTCTATACAATTTTTTCTTGTCATTATTTGAACTATTTTTGCACTACAATAATTAATAAACTACTACTACGTACTATAAGCGTGCAGCCTTCTCACAAACTGAAAAATAATATATACATTAATTATTAAAATTATAAATTGTAATAATTGTCAAGGCATTTAAGCCAAGTCTTTGCACAGCTTCATTTGAGCATTGAATTTTATAATTTTTAGAACGCTCGCCTGGAGCTGTGCAATGCTAAAATTTTCAATCAAATACACAAAGCGCACAGATACAGTGAAAACTCTGCTAAACGGACAACTAACTTAAATATTGAATATTCATAATTACTTTTGCCTTTTCGAACATATATTTACCAAGCGAACAAATAAATTTAGTTAATGCTAAAATTGTTATAATAAAAATATTTTAATTTACAATCGGAAAATGTTTAAGTTCGCACATTAAATTATTTAAAATATATAAAGAAATATGTAAAAATTATAGGATGCATGTACATATGCGTATTTAAGTTTTAAGCAAACATCTGCCTGCCTAGTTCGTTGAAGCGAGCTTTTACTGTATTATTTTAAATAAAAAACTTAGAACTAAGTTATAAATAGAAACTATTCAAATGAACAATAAAAATTAAATTGACCATAAAATTGTTATCAATGCTGTCAGAGAGTTGGATGTATAAATATAATGCATATATATAAGTATATGTCTCTGTGGATTGCTGCAGTAAGCCATGTGGTTGCTGCTGTTAAGTATTTCGCCTTTGCTTGCTCTGCGCTGCCCCAACTCAAATCCTGCTCCTTTGCAGTTCCATCTGGTGCGGCAATGCCAACGCGCTGCTACGACGGACGCACTTGCTCTTGAGAGCACAGGAACTCTGGAGGAATGCATGGCACTTGCACGTGAGCTGCGTGGCTTGGCCTTGAACTTTGCACCAGGTGGACCTGGGCGACGCAAAAATTACTTTGAGACACAGCCTAGGGATTTGGCAAGCCTCAGGCGACAAAAGGATGCGCGGAATCATTTGAGTGTTTTCGAGCAGCCCGCAGAGTATTTCAACTGTCATGTTCTGGCGTGTCCGCAAAATACGAGCTTTGCGGGCATGACCAACGATAGTCGTTTCGACTACTACAGTTTATACGGCAGGCCCACAGGTGAATAGGCCAGCGATTACAGTGAGCCTGAAATCAAATCTATGGTTTCCCGTAGCGCTGCACAACATTAGCTGCGTTGAACAAGTGGGTCTGTTTGTCTTCTATACCCAACCAGCGAGCTATTTGAATGCCTCCACCAGTTGCAGCAATGCCAGTGAGTTTAGTGGAAGCCTAGCCCATGTGGCCTCCGAGGCGCGCACTTATGCGCTATCGCAGTGGCTGGAAAATTATAATAGACAGCGCGTGGGTGAAAAACCAGAGCCGGGCATCTTTCTGGCTTATGTGGGCTTGCAATTTAATATCAGCAAATCCCTGCAGCCTCTCGACTATCGCAATGCGCAGCAAGAGAGCCTGCTGTGCTTTCTATATCGCGCCTGGCATGTGGGTCATCCGCGTATAGGGTAAGTGGGTTTGTCCTAAAATACACAGATATATAAATAGTAACCAAGAATCCATTATAGCGGCAATCAAGCCAATGCTAGCTGCGTGGCTCTGACACCGAATGGCACTTGGCAAACGTTGAGCTGTGAACGTGAACTGCCCTTCATCTGCGAGATTTTTACGCCGCCAAAAGACAATACAACCAGGCAGTTGGACACAGGAGCAAATGCAGCGGATGGGTGTTACTAACTTGGAGCCGTCAAATGTGGATCGATTTGATAAATCAACACTTTGCAGTTTAACCAGTTTCACGAACCGAACGAGACACTGGCTCACATCGATGAACATAATTTAAAACAATATTTTATACTTTAGCAGTCATTGCTCGCAAAATGAAGTTTACGGTTATTTGATGCAGCACAGTTATTCGCAGAAATTTTTTTATTAGAATCAGCCGTTTTCAAAACATCAATTGTATTGTATTGTATTGTGTTGTGGATGTGTTCGAACTCTCTTCACTTTACTGAATGGCAACAATAAATGAAAAAAGTTTTAATAACAAAGTGTACACTGAAGAGCTTAAACGAAATGTACCGTTTAGTGGTACTTGTAGTTCCTGTGGTGCTTCAACTTCGGGTAGTTGATGATATAGAAGAACGCCATGCTAGCGACGGTCAACTGGAAGAAGGGTGCAATGCCAGCACGCTTCGGGAACACATACTTGTGCTGCCAGCGCCACCAGGCACGGCTGACAGCGCCAGCGATGGCAGATGGACTCTTGTTGCGACGTCCAAACCAGGCGCCCAACTCGCCCAATTTTACTTGGCCGAAAGGCACATCAGCTGCGATTGTAAAAAAAAAATTAAGAAGCATTACATAAAATGGAAGAAAATAGGTATGGTATAAGCCGCAAAGTCGGGCGGCAGAAAATTACGTAATTTCGCGAATTTACTTACCTTTGCCATAGTAGCGTGCTGGATCATAAGGTCCATGCGTCTTTGGGTTATACTCAGCTGGATAGTCACCAAAAGCCATCTCGCTAAGTTACGTGTGTGATAAAAATATGTAATTTGCCAATGAGATTATATTTTCCAGCCTGCTACTTACTTTGCTCGATACTTGAGTATGAGTACGACAATGTATCGATAGGAATCAAAGCACACTAAATGAATGCACAGTGGTGTACTAGTAAATATCGATAGTATCGGTACCCCGTTGTTTCATGCTGCCACTCTCGCTGCACATAATCGCTGTGGCAACGCCGTCGCGTAGTATATACAGAAATCAAATAAGAATTTTTTTGCAAATCGGAAACGCGCTTAAATAACGATAATAACAACAATAAGATCAATACATAAACAATAAAAATTTGAAAGCGTAATGAAACTGGAGGAGCTCTTGACAAAGGGTGCACCGTCGCCGCAAGAAGACGACGACGACGACGAAAAGGCGGAGTCGAAAACAAAAGCCACAAATGCCTCTGATGAGGGGGTGGAGAATGCTGAAGATGCTGCCGAGGAGTCTGCTGAAAAAGAAAGCGCAACGGGCAAGAAAAAAGGCACACGCAAAAAACGTTCGCTTAATTGGGAAGAGGCAGAGCGCGGCCTCCTATTAGAAGTGATCAAAACAAAAGTCGCATACGTTGAGAATCGGAGCGTTGATGCAAAAAGCATCAAGGCCAAGAGACTGGCCTGGTCGCAAATAACCAAACAGTAAGTGTAGATAAAATTGTATTTATGCATTTCAATCAATTAATTTTGGATTTCCACAGATTCAATGCGCTGAACTTTCGCCATCGACTGCTCGAACAGATCCAGGTGCAATGGCGCAGCATGAAGAATTCGGCGAAGCGTGAACATCAGCAAAAGCAGCCCAAGTCGGAGGCGCTAGAGGGCATGCGCATGATTGAGTTTATGGAGGAGCTGCAAAAAGATCCGGTGTCATCGCGCAGTCAAACGCGCAGTGGCACCAACGGTGCGCTCAAAAAAGAGCTACTCGAACTGGACGAGGATGAGGATATGCCGCTGGCCGCATTACCGAATTCCACAAATGCCAGCGAGGATACGTTACAGACATCAACCATGGCCATACCCTCACCACCGCCCTCCACCGCTGGCGGCGACTCGCAGCAGGAGAGCACATCTAATCCACTCCAATCGGCGTCCAATCAACGACGCAAACGGGTCAAAGCCAAAGGCTTGCTAAACTTAAAAGACGACCCAGACACGGGAAACGGTGCAGCAACACAGGAAAATGACAACGAGAAGACTTCACCAATACGCAAAAGACGACAGCGCAAGGTGAGTAGATTGATTCGACGTATATAAACTAGTTACCATTTAATAAATATCGTCTCTCCCTCACAGCTTTCACAAGCACAATCATTGCTTTCGGAAGATGAGTTACCAGCGGCCAGCGGCACTGCAGTTGGCTCACAATATACACCAATAGCAGCCGCAGCTGCAGCAGCGACGTCGTCCAATGAGGTCGCCATGAGCTGCCTGGACATGGAGGAGAAATACAAACAACAGTTGTTTAAGCTACTGAAACAGGCGCGCCTTGCTGAGATTGACTATGCACGACGTGAGCATGAACAGAAGCTACGCTTCGAGCAAATGGAGCAGGAACTCAAGTTGTCGTACTATCGCCAAGAGCAGGACCTCAAGTTGCGGCATATGCGCGAGGAGCACGATATACGATTACGTCAACAGCGGCGCGAGCATGAGGCGCGACTGACCGTTTACAATCTCAATAGCAACGCCCACAATGGCAATGGCGAAGTGGAGCAGCAGCAACAGCAACAGCAGCTGGCGGAACAGTCGCCACCACCACTACCCGTGCCCCATGGCATGCGCTGCAATGCGAAAACGGACTATAATAATGTACATCTGGAGAGTGGAACGAATCAGCCACAACCGCAGGCATCGACATCGTCAAGCAGCAGCAGCACGGAAGCAGCGCTGGCGGTCAATGCCAATTCCTTGGCTTACAACTAGTAGTTGCACACACTCACACTACAAACACAAACACACTCACAAATAATACGCATTGCCAGCATTTAGTGGGCGACAAGTGGAACTAGCTTGAAATGCGTCTAGCAAAATATAGCCGACTCTCAGAAGAAGGAAAACTGTCTCAAAAGACAAACTCTGACTAATCCATGAATATATATATATATATATATATATATATATATATATTTAGATATATAGAAATATGAATACGTATTCATATGCGAATATACTCACGTTGCCACAGACATGACTCGAATGGACTGTTCTCTTCTTTTTCCGATTTGATTTGACAGACAACCAAACCTAGCAAGCAACAAGAAACGAGCATTTGCATTTCTTTTGATATTAGTATTATTATTATGTATTATGAATATGAATTTCACAAGCGGTTGTGTCGCAACAAAGACGCAAAATACTCAAACTCAATGAATTAATTAAGCAAATTTTTTAACCACATTCTCGCATGGCAGTCATCCCACATCCGATCCCAGTCAGTATTCTATTTTTGCCACTGTATTAGAACTTCTCTTTGAGACCCATCAAGCAGCTATGTTAAGTTTATAATTTCATTTTGATTATTATATATGTATGTGTATACACATATGTATTTTTTTTTATTTTATATATAAATACTTATACGATAATTGTACATCTATGTAGTTGTATTTTGTATGTTGTTTGTGTGCATACATTTAATATATATATACAAATATATATATAAACTTTTTATATATAGCTGTCGTGTACTCGATTAAGATTACATTTTTTGTAAGCCAAACACGATTGTCTTTTAAGGTACATTGCTAAGGTATACTCCCCCTACACATACACACGCTCGAATATGTACCCTGCTGTACACTTTGTGTTGTATAGCGCTGTAATACCCTGTAACTTTGCTTTAGCTTACTACTAAATGACATTAATTCAAGCAAAGGACAATTAAAGAATTAGTTAAAGAAAATACATAAAACAAGAGATGTCTTTTAATTGTAATTAGTAAGGTGGAAGATTCTAAATTATTTAACTTTAAACTTATGTTGACAAATTTAGATGATCTCTAAGAAACTAAGTAAGCCTTGGGCATTTCAAACTTTTCTTACGATTATGATAAAACCTGTAGCTCAGTATGAAGTAGATCGTCAGTATACAAATGCTGAATACTATTTGCATTTTTATACTTTTATACACATCCTGAAAACACATTCAGCGAAAAGTAATACCTTAACCAGGCAAAATGAAGGATCTTGATCTGACACTGGATTGCATGGAAAATGCGCGCTTCAACTTTATCTATGGCAGTATAGTCACCCATGTGGAATCGCCGTTCTCAGAAACTGAGTTGCTGTGCCTCGCAATGATCTATCATAAGTTTGTACTTTTGAATGGACCAAAGGCGAAATATATGACGCACAGGCAATTGGGGAATTTCATAATGCAAATGTTTCGGGTTACCGACACAGACATTAATGGTCGAGTTGTGGCTGTTGTTAGCGACGATCCAGACTGTACAGATCCAAAATTCTCACAGGATCGTCACTGTACACTGCCATCGTTTGTGAAAATGTTTACCACCTATTTTGTAAGCGATCTGGAGGAGCGCATGATATTTGTCTATAGCGTTTGTATAACAGTTCGTATATATCTGAATTCTACTTAACTTTTTCAATATTCCTCTCCAGATTTATGATGAGAATCGTCTTGGCTATTTGAATCGTGAGCATGTGATGCGGTTCGTTGAGAAATTCTTTGTCGGGGAAGATGAGGATGAGCAGATTGAAATGCGCACGGTAAATCAATGATATGATATACATTACTAATAAATATTTATAAATTTTACTGTTTGCAGGACATGCTGGAATTAATATTTATCAAATTTGATCTCGATAAGGATTTGCAAATATCCTTTGACGAATATGCTGAAATAGTACGCAAGCAGCCAGCGCTTCTTGAATTCTTGGGCACCGTCTTTCCATCGAAGGTCCAATTGAATACTGTTGCCCTTTGTGTCAATTTATACTGAAATTTACAAAAGAAAATTTTTTCATTGTATTGAAAGTCTTCCACATAGTGCATTAAAAACGAAATAAAATTATAAGTTTAATAATATGTAGTTCTTATTGTAATGTAAATATAATGTAAGAAAGAAAAAAGTTTAATCTTTTATTGTGTATTTCCACTCCATTTTACAAAAAATTGCTCTCAAGTTCTGCAGTGCGTTAAGCGAAAATGCGTGGGAGGAGTATAACAGCTTAAATAAATCTATGAGCAGAAGCAGAATACTTGTTTTAAGCGAAAACTTCATACATACATACATACATATATTTTATTTTTCGCAGCTGTATGTACTTACATACATATGTTTGTATGCATGCATATGTTTCCCACCCGCATATACCCCTACACACACACACACATACTTACGTACATAATCCATAGCTAACGGCTGATCACCGCCATAATCGAAGGGTATTTGTTGATATGCACTCTCGTTTGGAGCATTCTCGTTTATATGCTGCGTTCTGCATTTCTCCAATCCGCTTTGGCGCCCCATTGTCGAAAACCGAGCTGGATTTTTGCATTACAAATGATATGGCTAGCGTGACCGTCCGTTTGTCCATCCGTTCGTACGTTTCTATAACGCACATGAAACACAAAATTGAAACAAAGCAGAGAAGAAATGAAAACAGAAATCAATTTTTTTTTTTTTTTTTTTTTGCTTTTCGTTTGCGACTTTGCAGCAATTCTTCCTGTCCGCTCGCCATGGCTCGACTTCAGTTTGCACGGCTCAGTCGTAGGCGAAGGTTGGAACTAGTGCAGAGCGGCAATTCCACAAGGAAATTTGAATAAAAGTGGAACTAGTGCAACGCCACAGCCAAGAGCAGAACGAACTGTAAAATAAACAAAAAGAACCGCAAGCTCAACTGTTAAAAGGCGTAGCGTGCAAGAAGAGGGATAAAATAAATTAAAAAACAAATAAATAACAATGCTGCTGTTCTATGCAAAATATGCATTTCTCTTTTGGCTGTTCATAGACGACAATCAGGGCGATTTGATACTCATGCGTGAACTCTCCAAGGAGGAGCTGCTGCTCAATAAGACAGCCTGCACTAAGCGCTGCCTGCTCACAATACCGAATAAGGTGACACTAATTTAGCGCAACTCAAGATCATGTTCTACAATTCTCTGCTTCTCTGTCTCTCTTTCTTTCTCTTTCGCAGAATTTTTCAAGCTGTTACGGTTATTGTAGTGAAAATGGAACGGATTTAATGCCCGCAAATCTGCACAAAATACAGGAGAATTTCTCCTTGAATCTCGTCTGCCGCACAGAATCGGAGCTCTCATTTCGCATTAAGTGGGTTCAGCATGCGCGCGATAATGCCACACAGGCTATGCCCGATGCCATGTTCATTATTAAGTTGGACAGAATTTTTGATGACGTGAATCTTGAATCGACTTTCTATGTGGTAGGTGGAGCGTTTCGAATCCACTTAACAATGTTTATCTATAATCCTTAATCAATTTCAGTCCGATGATAGTTTCTTTACCTTAAGGGATCTGGATGCAATTACAGCGCATAATATTACAGCGCTGGCTGTGCACGCCGATGGCGCCTATTCGTTTATAGCCATCCAAGAAAGCTATCAGACACTGAAGCGCGGTTACCAGCCCAGCAAGATGGGCAACGTTCGGCTGAAAGAATTCGAAGAGCAGCCCGGCGATAGGCAGCACATTGCAGCAAAAGTGGAATGGCAGCCCTCAGCAGGTAAGTCTTATACAGAAGTCTTATACAATTTAAATAATCATATATTCATTCTCTCAAATTGCAGAGCGCAATTGTTACTTTGATATGATCTACTTCTCAAAGGATAGTCAAATTATGGAGACGCCCTCTCCAATCCATTTTCGCGACGTAAATACTTGGACGTGATATTTTGTTTATGCTCAGACCTTAACCTTAACTTTCACCTTTGCAGCCTCGCAGCCTCTACAGCTATACAATACCCAATTTGAAGTATGGCGAGCAGTTTATGGTGGGCATTCGCACGATTAATATCATGAATATGCTGGAGAGCTCACTGCAATGGCTGGTGCTTCACGTACCCAGCTGCCTGGATTGGACCCACTACAACTATACCCTGTGTCGTAAGTTGAAATGTTCGGTACAGTTTAATACAGATTAATGAATGCTCTACTTCATCTCTTTCAGCTCCACTGAAACCCGTCAATGTTAGCGTGATTCAATTCCATTTCGAACAGGATATATTGACACTGAATATTAGTTGGGCTCTGCCAAGACAATTGCCGGATAACTATACGCTGTACATACTCGATCTGCACGTGAATAGCAATTACATGAAGTATATAGTGGATGGTAGTGCTAATCATTATTATATACCAAATATCACTATACTTGGTGCCAGTTTTGAGGTGCATTTGGTGGCATACACACAGGGCGGACAGAATGCCACAGTTAAGCCCGTAGATAAGATTGATTTGCAGTTCCGGATGCTGGGTACGTTTTCTGACCAATGATAAATGAGTTATGCATATTTATTTAAAATATATTATTTTCCAGAAAGCACTTTGATTAACTTCATGGTGTTATTTATTGTAACACTATGTTTGATTCTTGGCTTGTGTTGGCTGTCGCTCCGTAGGCAAAAGCAACGTCAAGAGTGTCAGAAGCTGGAAACGAAGGATCTGAAGGCAGCTCCTAATCAGTCAAGCGACTTTCATTTGTCGTTGGTCAACAACAACAGTAACAGACTGTTAGCCACGCTCGCTGCCGAGGATAACTTTGAATTGGATGATGAGCTGGAGGTGGACCCGCATGCTGTGCTGCTGCAGGATGTGCTAGGCGAGGGCGCGTTCGGCCTAGTGCGACGTGGTGTCTACAAACAGCGTCAGGTGGCTGTGAAACTGCTAAAAGGTAAGAAAGATAGCCCAATAAATCAAACCGTTTATTTAAAGATTCTGCTTCTAGATCACCCCAATGAGGAGGATGTGCAGGCATTCAAGTGCGAAATCGAAATGCTACGCGCCGTAGGCAGGCATCCGAATATTGTGGGAATTGTTGGCTACTCGACCAGGTGCAGCAATCGCATGATGCTGCTTACAGAATACTGCGGCCTGGGCAGCCTTCAGAATTATTTGCGGCAAGCAATTACCTTGATCTCCCTTATAGAAAACTGTCTAACGCATTTATTCCACAGTGATGAATGGAAGTTCCAGCAGGAGCGCAGCGCACGGAACATGCATGCCAAGCTCAATCTAGTCCAGCAGACGCATCACTCAATGCGTTCTAGGCATATCCTATATAACGATACACGTATTGAGGATATAAATCGATCTATGCTGTCCACCCTGGAAGAGGAATCCGAGACAGATCTCTCAAGGAACAGCAGTCGCCAAGATTCCAGCTTCATGTGGAGCAAAAGAACACTTGCTGCCGACAACAAATCCTATGGACTGCACGGCATTGAGAACATTGAGACAAATGCAGGAGCAGCAGCTGCTGCTGTGGCAACACTGAAGAACCTATTGAAGCGCAACCAAAAGGAGAAGCAGTCAGAGAAAAATACCTGCTGCACGGCTAGCTTTGAAAATCAGGAGTACTTCAATACACCGGCCGTTGAGCAAGAGTTGGAAAGGCAACCACTGAAATATGCCGATCTATTGGATATTGCGCAACAGGTGGCTGTGGGCATGGTAAGGACATAGATAGAGAAAGATATTGACTGGAATGATAATGGCTTCTATCCACAGGACTTTCTGGCGCAAAATAAAATTGTGCACCGAGACTTGGCTGCACGAAACGTGCTCATCTCCTTGGATCTAACCATCAAAATAGCAGACTTTGGGCAAGCATTTATATATTATATAGATTAAGGCATACATATTAATTAAACTTAATTCTTATTATCAGTCTGAGTCGTGATGTGTACCATGAGAATGTTTATCGTAAATCTGGAGGCAGTGGCAAGCTGCCCATCAAGTGGTTGGCCTTGGAGTCGCTGACCCATCAGGTCTACACCAGCCAGAGCGATGTGTAAGAATGTGATCTACAACAAGATTTTATCTATTTATATTTGCTTTCTGCTTTCAGTTGGTCCTTTGGTGTGCTGCTGTATGAGATTACCACACTGGGTGGCATGCCATATCCTTCCATCTCGCCCAGAGATTTGCTGCAGCTGCTGCGTCAGGGACAGCGCATGAAACAGCCCGAAGGCTGCACAGATGAAGTGTATGTAGCTGGAGAGTAGATAAAGGGAATATATATATATATATACAAAATAATTGTCTTTGCAGATTTGCTCTAATGACAAGCTGCTGGTGCTCCATACCGGGAAATCGGCCCACATTCGCCCAAATCAAACAGCAGCTCGATGCGATGATCCTGGCCAGCAATGAGCAGCCAATGCGGCTACAGAAGCAGTTAAAGCGACAGCTAACTCAAACTGACAATCCACATAGGCATGTGCTATATAGCATAGTAATCCCAAATTAAATCTAAATCTAATTTCAAATCTTATTTCAATTCACAGCAAACTGGAGCAACTGCCGCAACATGATGAACCCTATTTGCAACCTTGTGCTTAAATTAGTTTTTATATAATTGTTTTTTGTTTTGTCTTCATTTAAAATGTTTTACTATGTGCAATACATTTTCAATTAGAGATGTGTGTAGTAAATAGGGATCAACTATATTTATGTATATATTTATAGTTACTTAGCTTAAATTTCAAAGATCTTAAAGAAAATATATTTACTGACTATTTGTACAACACACGATAAGCTCTGTGTGATATTGTAGAGCATGCTGTAACTGTTAAGATATGATAAAAACTTAATATATAATCTAAAAGAAACAACTTTTAAGCTACAATCTTCCAGTTCTTATAAAGCACGACTTATAAGACATTTAGCTTCCTTGTATATCCAATAGTTCACTTTAATAATATCTTATCTATATTTTTATACTTGGAGCCATCAGTCAAAATTTATTTCCTTTTGTAGCCTAGTAGCTTCCGAATTTGGATGATCAGAAAATTCGAAAGGCCCGTCTAGAAAACGTTTTTAACTTTTGTAAAATTTTTCCTCGAAATAAATTGGGTTTGTTTTTGATTTAAATAACATAGCTAGAAAATGTGCCAACACTGTTGCCGCATGCAATGGACACCATGCGAACCGATACCCTATGCCTGTCCCCTCTGTCCTGTGCGCCAGCTGTCCGATTGCTGTCGTGGTTCGAGCAACGGGAGTTGTAGATTAAAGTATCCGTCGTCCCATAACAAGTCCTTGTTAAAGCACTCCGATTTGTGCAAAGACATCTCGGAGCTATATTCGTATGTGGTTTCGGCTAAGCGTAATACACGGAGGCGAAATAAACGCCGGGGCATTCCCAGATGGAACGAACCCAATAGTAGTGCTATTCCAGCGGCATTCGTTGATCCCGAGCAACAGAAGCCACGGGAAGAGGATACCTGGACGTGGAAGTCTCGCTTTCCCATACCTGAGAAAGTGTTGCCTGTGCAACCCCGAGTGGCTGTACTCCCCTCCAAATGGGGCAGGACTGCTGGGCAACAGCCCCAGAGCTGAATCTTTTGCAGCATACCCTGCACATCCACACACTCGTATACAATCGCAATGTAAACAGACAACACTTTCACAAGTATGAGTATGTAGTACATCCATCGAAGAAGGAAGATACCACACCCATTGCTATTTTCTAAGTTGTGTTATTAAAAATCAAAATATATCTCGAATAGCACTAGAAAAGAGAATTGTTTTTTACCTTAATTAAAAATTCTTTACTTTTGCTTGTTTCCTTTTAACCAAAAAACTGTATTTAATCATTGTATTGACATAGATCGAGTTAAGATTATACAACTATTTAACCCCCCATTTTTAAATGTTTTTATACATAAAGATAATAATAATTGTAGTTGACTTAGGTATCAATATGACTACAAAAATACACGACGTTTATGCATATTTCAGTATACATATATGACTCGTATAAGACTTGTATAAGTGTGCAAAGCGAATGCTTTAACTGAAAATATATTTACAATTGACCATTTATATAAGGAACAATTAAGGAAAGCTAATTTGTGACAAAGTAGGATATGGAAATTATAAAATTTAAAATTAAATCATAAAAAGAATACAAATTTTAAATCAAAGTGGAACTTAATAATTGAACACATACCGAAATCAAGAAAATTTAAAACTAAAAATATAAAATTTAAATATTTTCAACTCAAAATTAAATTTAGATCAGCTATAAAAGAATCATTAAGAAATAATCGAGAGCTTTAGAAAAAACAGCCTACAAATATGCATAAATACACGTAGATCAGGTATATTATGACAATTTTGATAAGGTATAAATCTTGTTATATATGTATATATAGTAAATATGTATTTAATATTTTTACATAGCACTCGTTTGTTCTTTGGACATTCGCTGATTTTTTGTGCAGCTTAGCTAGTGACGACTGTAGCCAAGTCCGAGTATGTTGCGCGCCTGGAAGCAGAGCGAGAGAGAGAGAAGATCGAGTTAAATTGAATTGCATTTATAGATTACGCTATTTTAATGTACCGTGATGAAAGCAGAGTTAAAGGAACGTTGAAATGTCTGCGTCATGCCCTCAGTTTGAGCCAAAGCCATCTGCAGCTGGACAGCCTCATCCATGCGATTCTTGAGGAACTCCCACGTCTGAGCGTGTCCAGCTGAGGTGTCCTGCAGCATATACAGCTCCGTCATCTTCATAATGGTGGCCAAGCCAACCCGACGCGTATACCAGCCAAACTGTGAAGCAATGAAGGCAAATGAGTATATGGACAGAGATTCGTTTTAGTCAAGCTCACATCGACGGAACGATCGCCGGAATAGTAGCAAATATCATCGACTAGGGTGAGCACCTGCGCCAGCGCTGTGGATGCATTTGCCGGCTGCGCTATCAGTGCCATGGCCTGGGGCCATTGCTTCTTGAATGGCTCAATCATGCTGAGGCGCTGGCGCACCGCTTGGACTAGGAAATCCAGCGGATCACCGACCTCCTTTTGGCCATTGTCCGTTTTCTTCTGCAGACTCTGCACCAGCTCCGCATTACACTTGCCATTGAAATGGGAGACGAGCGCAAAGCCGCCATCGGGAAACATGCCATGGACGACGCTCGGAAAGCCGCTCTCCTCGGCGCCCTGGACGATCGCCTGCTTGGTCCAGCCAAGCTCCGGCACATGCAGCAGCGCTGCATCCAGTATACGCGTTCGTATGGCCTCCACCTTGGCCTGCTTGGCTGACTGCTCCGCGTCGGGTGGCGCACCACCGCCACCTATTCCAGCACCGCCGCCCGCATCGCTCTGTGTGGCCTTATACGCCTTCTGCTCAGCTGCATCGCGCTCCCTCTCGCGTTGCTCCTCACGCGCCCGAAACTCATCCAGGTTGTCGCTGCTCGAGGAGTAGCTGCGTCCCACAGCGTAGCCGGGCAACAAAACTGGGCGCTGCTGTTGCAGTGTGAGCACGGCGGCGGGTGTAGCGGTGCTAATGGCCAGCCAGCAGCCTTGTGCATCTGCAAATCATTTAATCAATCAATCAAGTATAATCGAACAGTTGAAATCATATATATAAGTTTTTATTGCAAAAATAATGTGAAATGATCTCAATAGGGTCTCTTTGTTATGAGTGATTCTGCGTTACGGCCAACATAATTGAGCTAAACCCATGTAGCAGTTTCATTTATAAATATTTAAATTTCCGTTGACAATTTGTTCCACATATCGTGTAGAGTTGTGGTTTCCCCCTTTGCTCTAATTAGCTTGAAGGTCAGCTAAAACAAGGCGAAGCTCACAGTTTGGCTTCGTTCGCTTTGCTGTGCCATTAATTAACACCTTTTTGGAGGCGACAGCTGAGCGAGAGAGCACAGTTAGTTTGGTCAATTAGCACCTGTTGACCGTAGAAAACACACAAAAATAAATAAATGCACATATGTGAAAAAGAAAAAAAAAACAACTGTCATTATGATTGTCGGATAAATTTCGTTTTCATTTACGTTCGATCAAAGGAGATATAAACATAGAAACAGATGGTTTATGATTTGTCTTTTGTCCAATTTCTAGTCCGACCGGAGTTGTTTTTTGCGCTTTATCGAGCTCTGCTCCACATTGTCGCTGGTCAGCAGGTAGAGCACGCGCAATGACTCCAGTCCCGTTATGGACCCGGCCAACACCTCGAGCTTCTCCTCACGTCCAATGTCCGGCAAATGGCCGTCTCCCTCGCCGCCGTCCATCCCGCTGTTGGTTATGTTCACGGCCAGCATATTGAGCTGCTTCTGCATTAGCTCGTCGTCGGATGTGCTCTGGCCATTGAGCACCCGTTCCCTGTACGCCTTGTAGTGGGCGAGGGAGAAGTTTAGGGCTTTGCCTAGGGGCTCCAGGAATTGCTGCTCAATCTCTGGCAGTACATCCCAGAATCCCGTCCGGTTGTCAAGGTCAGCCATGGCAAAGTACCGCACCATGTTCAGGGCATTCGATATGGTGACCGAATGCATCAAAAGATCCGATTTCACGTCTTGGGGGAGCACGCAAACACACCGCAGCACCATGGACCGGAACTGTACTCCACTGTAGACCTCGCTCAGAGGCACCTTCAGCTCCATTTGAGCGGCAGCCAAGTCCTTATACATGCCCGCTAGATAGCCAAGGATGCCATCGTGCTGCAGTGTTTCCAGCAGGTTTTTCAATATGAAATACTTGGCTGTATCCTCGAAGGCGAGTATATAGTGATGCAGCACCTGGAGGCCCAGTTGACGCAACGACTCCTGCGAGGAGTAGCCCGTTATCTTGCAGAGCACCTCACAGTAGCGCTTGTGTACCTCCAAATCCAGCGAACGCTGCGGCACAGGCTCCGTCAGAATGCTCAACGCATAATCATTTAAGCGTAATCCACAATGCTGCATCGGCGGCTCCGGTTGCTCCAGCAGCACTGAGACCAAGTAGAGGAGCGATTCAAATAAATGCAGTGGCGCATAAACTTTGGGCGCGCTCTTGGGCAGCAATTGGCCCACGAGCAGAGCGTGATAGTACATGGCCAGGGCGGGCAGTGGGAGTTTCTCGTCAATTAGGAAGATATTGTGGCTGCTCATCTCGTAGACACCCTTTTCAGCGTCCAGGCGACGTTTCCAGCGGGCGCGCTGCTCCACCAGGCACAGCAGATAGTAGGGATCCCCCAGCAATCTAGAGGCGTCCGCTACCAGAGTGTGCAGCACCTGCTGGACATATGATTGTGTCTTGCCCGCCTTGGCACGCGCCTGGAGATAACTCTGCTGAGTCAACTCCGGCCGCAGGCGCCACGGACTGGGCGTACAGACGTGCGCTTGTCCCGGCTCCAGCAATCGCTTCGGCATATTGCTCAGCTCGAGCAGGGCCAGAGGTTTTCCCAGAAGCTGAATCAGGAAGCAGGTCAGGGCATTACGACGATTTAGGCCACAATCCCGAAAGACCGATGTGTTGCAATCCTGCTCGAGGACCACCTTCAAGAGTGGCTCGTAGCACAGATCGATGGTGATGTAATGCGCCAGCATTTCCTCGATTTGTTTGTCCTGCTCCAGCAGATGCGCCTGTTGCTCGTCGTAGCCCTCACTGAGGTACTGCGGCAACGGCAGGTCCCGCACACGTGTAACTACAGAGGCGAGACACCACTCGATGGCCTGCGGCTTGGACTGACCCTGTCGCAGCAGCACCACCTGCAATGCCCGAAGATATGCCGAGAATATGGCTATGCTGCTGCTCTCCTCGATCTTTTCCATCAACTCTAGCATAAACTGGTGCAGCGGCGCATATTTGGCGACGATCTTCAGCAGCTCATTGACGCAGTCGAACAACTGCGTGTCATCCACATTCGTTTCGTCCGTTAACGTCGGTGCACAGATTTCCGTATACATGTCCAATGCGGCGGCGGGCATGTGCGGCTCGATTTCCGCAAAGACAGTGGGGCTCTGGAAGAGCATTTTGATGCCATCGTAATCACGCTCGTGGAGCATACGCTTAATTAGGCTTAACAGGTTCTCGGCTTCTGTTACCGGTTCCGTTTCCATTTCTACGTCCATTGCGTTTTGATTTTGTTTTATTTACTTTTTTTTTTGTTTTGATTTTTTGTTTCCAACTTGTTTTATTTTAACTAAAAATTCTAAATAAACTTTTGACCGGCAGCCACAGCATTTGCTTTGTCCTCTCCCCCCTGACGTATAAATCGAACGGAAAAGGAATGAAAAAAGTGTAAAGAAAACAGCTGTTCGCGTTGAATGCCACTCTCACTCGCACGTCTTTCGTAATGGGCGAATTGCGAAATCCAGCACGCGCGCGTCTTTGCTTTGTGTCAACAGTTCTTTGATTATTGTCTAATTTACTTACTGATTGGCAGCACAAACTTTTGTAGGCGAATTACTTTTTGCAAACAGCGCACATTTGCCATTTTAGCGCTCCAAATGTTGTCTGCTCAACTGATATTTGCTTCTTCTTCTGGTATTTATTTCGGGCGCCATTCAGCATGCGGCAAACCTGGTGCTGTACAGCGTTCGAAATTTGCTGAATTTTGCAGCACTGTGCAGCTAGGGCTGGCTGCCGATGCATAGCTATAAATACTTATATACAAATGCCTACTTTAATGAATTAAAATAACAATAAATTGACCTAAAATATTACTATCAATTATGCTCGACTATTAAATATATTGATTTTCTCTATTTGCTGTAACAGCTGTTTGGTATTTTCTTGGCATGCATTGCCCGCTATTTATTGGCTTGCGGGAACTGGTCACACTGCTCAGTAGACCCAACGCTTTTCATTCGTCGTGTGTGCTGTTCGCGGTGCCAGCGCGCTGAGTTTTTATATTAATATTTAAGGCACAATTTTTGCACACTTATGCAAAACGTTCTTAGTCAAATAAAGTAACTGTGTGCGATGCATTAAGTCAATGTGATAGCAGCGCCACATAGTTAACACCAAAAGTGTTCAATTTTTATCAAAATATTCCAAGCGATTGCGGCAAAAAAAAAAAAAACAAAAAAAAAAGGGAAACCCGAAACGAATTCCAAGAATTCCCAAGCATATAATCAAAATATTCAAATTTAACGAATTGCCAAAGCTTTAATAGGCAAATTAATTTTAAATTGATTATAAGGTAGTTAAAGAAAAAAGCAAAAACAATCGTTAGTGCAGAAAAACGAAGCTAGACCAACCGATCCCCCGACAGAGGGTGGAAAACCGTGAAAAGTGTTTGTGTTTGCGTGTATGGGTGTGTGTTGAAGTGTGTGTATAAAAAACGAAAAGAAAAAGAATTGAGGAAAACCGTTGCGAAAAATGTGTGAGCAACAATTGAAGGTTGTTTCCGTTCGTCCCGAACGGCATGCGTAGCCAGGCTTTAAATCCAGTTTTATGCGCGAGGCAAAATTGTATCGACAACAACAAGACGAATAAGAAGAAGAAGAAGAAGACGAGCCACAACAACAAACTTCAAATTGCTCTGTGGACCCTTTTCGCCTGGCACTCAGCACGCAATTCGCCGCCGCTGCTGTCGCCGCCCGCAGTGGTCTCTGCTGCCACCGCCGCCTGGTGGTTATTCCTGTTTGACTTCATTTTCGCTCGCTGCCAAATTGCTGCCACTTTCGCCGCAAACTTATAAACAACAACAATAACACAACAGTCAAAATGTCGACGCGTTCGCAATTAACCAAGGACCTCAATGGTGAGTAATCGTTATCGTTCTTTGTTTTTAATTTTTTTTTACTTTTTTTACTTAATATAATCTCTCTTTGCACACACTCACTCTTTTTGTCTTTGTTTTGCGTAGAACTGCTGCGTGCATATTCTTTACTCTGCCGCCCTTCATAATCTTAGACCTCACTTCATCCACCGTTAGCGCTAGGCTGTGTTTTTGTTTTCGGCTTTTTCAGTTTATGTTTTGTTCTTGACGTTTGCCTCTCGCTCGGCGCACTTCCGTTTTGCCACAATGCGACACGGACACGCCACACTGGCTGCCCCCACACAACCCCCACTCCACCTGGTCACAGTTACCCTCTCTCTCTCTGGTTGGGCTTGTTAGCATAGGAAATCTGGTTGTTGAGATACAGTTTGAGATGCAGCGAAGGAGCAGTCGTCCTACAACTGTTCTACATGCACATGCATTTTATGTATTCGTGTGTGCATTTAATGTACTTTCATTTGCATAGTCTGCGTTTGTGCTACCCTGTACTCATAATTACCTAAGTCGGGTATATTGAATATACAATTATAATAGATACTTAAAAAGAATATAAAGACTTATAAAATACTTATTATATATACATATATTACTTATTTCATGAATTCTGTTATTACATATGTTTTACATGGTATCGGCTAGTAGGCATGCTCAATTTTTGTAGAACTCTCATTAATTGCTCGCGCCATGATGTTTAATTGAGTTGAAATTGAGTTGAGCGCTGCGAAACGGCAAGTAAAAGGAGCTATAACAAAAACAACAACAGCAATAATAACAACAATTGAAAAGCATTGCTCAGAAGCATTGGCCGCATCGTTTATGGGCTTCATAACTATAACTGCGCCGATAAACAAAATCAACAAACAGACAGCAGTGTAATGCATGTGTGTATGCTTGTGTGAATGACATTGCCTGTGTGTGCATGTATATGTATGTGTGTGCTTACTTGTAAATAACTGTTAGTCAGCGCTCTGTTTGCCCGTCATTTAAAGCGATTGTCGACTGCATGCATAAACAGAGGGAAATTTTAGATGCAGCTGCTGCCAACGGCAACAACAAAAACATATAAAATATTATAATTATTTATCATATTATTATTGAGAATTTTGCATATGTATACCGATATATAATATAATAAAAAACTTATTGGCTTCTTATTATAATAATATAATTCAATTATTTGTAGCTTACAGTTTTTTCATTATTTTTAATTTGCGATTGGCGAATATGGATTCGCTTCTTACTGTAAGAGCTAGCATACTATTTTTACCGTAAGACGAGCTGAGCAGGGCTGCAAAGCTCATCTCAACTGATCGACTGGTTCGCTGCAGTTCGTGAACTAGATTTTGTTTCATTATTTTTATTTTTCATATATTTTATTTACACCAACTTATTGGCTTTTTATATATTTTGTACTATGAATAATATTTATAAATATCTATTATGCATATGATAAACGCGCTAAATTTGTTATTAAATAATTTGTTGTATCCAAATGGAATTTAGTTATAATTAAAAGCCTTTGCTTCTGTCGTTTCCCTCTGATAATATTCATTTGTAATAAAATCGTTTTTCGTGTTTTGTTTTGTTTTGCTTGCTGCTGCATTATTTAGCTCAACTATGATTAAGAGTCTAATTGGGAATTGAATGTTATCGGTATACATTCTGATTGGAGGCGTGTTATCAAGAAAGGGGAACTTGATTGATGATTAATGAAGCGCCAGCAGGTGTCTTAAATGAACTGCCACACATACACACGCAAACTCACGCACACACAGACACGCGCACACACTCACAGACACATAAATCACTCGCCCAATTGGATTTTTGTGAGTTTATTTTCATTTGATTTTTCACGCTGGAATTTTCACAGCGAGCGCAGCTGCAACAGCAAGAAACGCAACAGCAACAACAACAATTTGTTCGTGCCCCATAAATAAAATTGTCAATGCTTTCGACTCAGTTTTGCTCCAAATACCAATTCCCAAAAAGAAAAAAAAAAAAACATTTACCTAAATTATGAGCAGCAAGTGGAATGTTTTGGCTAATTGGCAGTAAAGCTAATTGGAGACTGGAGCAACAGCAACAACAACAACTACTGCTACTGCAAATAAGGCAGCAGCAAATATTGCACCTGGGCAAACAGGACAATGTGACAGGGACGGTGGTCGTGCTTCTTGGTGGGTGGGCGTGGCTGTTGGTGCCACTGGTTCTGGAGTCGTTTGCTGCTTGGCTGTCATTGCACTCAAATCAAATTAGCGCGAATGCCAACGAACTTGATGAAAATTGCCAACCGTGCTAAAGGCAGTGCCTCTCAAACTGTGAGTGGACGTTGATTCGTTGTGGCAGTTGCTGCTTGCTGTTGCTGCTTGTTGTTGCTTTTATTATTTGGTTAACTTTTCACGCTTGTCTGTTGCTCTGTCAAGCGTTAACACCCAATTTCCGTTTGCCATTCCTATTAGATTCCATTTGGAATTGTGCTCAAGCACCAACAGCCAAAAAAGCTGACTGGAAAAAAATATCAAATTGAAATTCATAGCTGAAATAAATTTGTTTATGGCAAAATTGCTATAATTTATTAAATACAATTAATTGTGTATAATAATTATTATTACACATTAATTATAGTTAAATTTGGTCATATTTTAGCTAATAGAAATTTACTATAATAAATTAAATGAAATAATAATAATAAATTATATCAATTTTACCCTAAACCCAAAATCTTGTATCACAGTGTTAAATCTGTTGCTCGCACACCTAACGGTCACACCCAAAAACAAACTGAAGCAGCGCACTCTCGCTCTCTCTCTCTCACTCCCTCTCTGGCGCGCCACGCTCACGTTCTCTATTCGAAAAGTCTGATAAGAATATTGGGCTGATAAGAAACGATCGCAATTGTCGCATTTCGCCTCAGTACTGAATCCGACGCGCGCTCCACAACTAACTGGATTCGAATTGGGTCTACGTGATTGCACTTGGCTCAACTTATATTCTGATTGATTATTTACATTGTGTTTTGGACTCTTTTTGTTTTTGTTATTAATGTTTTATGTGGATATAAAGCAAATGTATACAAACGAAATGATGAATCACATCGATCAGTACTTGCGGCGCATTATTGAGCTGCAGATACGCGACGTAGTGCGGCAAGGCAAAGACCAAGGTGAGGTCGAACAAAATAGCACACTCTTATACATATATCCAATAAGAAGCTAATAAGAATTCGTATACATACTAGCTGCAAGTCTTGTATGCGTCATACATTGATATCAGTTGACCAGCGCACCAATCGGAAGAGTGAGTGGGATAGAGGGAGAGGTGTAAGGGGCGTAGTGGAAGTTATTATTCGCACGTCATAAAAAAGAAGGAAAACAATTGTTGACAACTGCTGCGCCCCTTTTTAGCAGAAATTGAGCCGTTTAACAATTAACTCAGTTTATTTTGTTTTGCTTTTAAATGGATTTATTGACAAATTGAAATATCAGTTTAGTGAGATATGCATACATATATAAACGTATATTGCACTTTTTTTTAATTCTGATAAGATTTTGATATACCTGTCGATTGCTCTCTTATAAGAATTTAGATAGTCAAGTCCACATTTATTAAACTTGTAAAGTTGCATCAACAGCTACAAAACTCTTATACATAAATATGGAAGATAGGCCAGCACTTATAATAACTCTTATATTCATTAACATAGTGAAGTCAACACTGATAACACTTTTCAGTTACCAAACTTTTGTAAACAAATGTGCCCAACTATTGCTTTTGGCAATTAGCTGCTTGCTCAACTTCCGTTTGTCATACAAAAATTGCATTGCAAAATTATTTTAAAATTCGCCATTGATTTACACATTTGTTTAAAACAAAAGTTTGTTGCAACATTCAAACAAAAGAAACAAATTTAAATGCAAACAAAAACAAGTTTTCTCTGGAATTAATGAGTCCAATCTTTGTTTCTTTTTATTGAGTCTGCCTTTCCAGTCGAAAATGCAAAACTATGGAAATTTATTGGATGTCCAAGTGAAGGCCATGAGTGGGCACACGTACATGTATATGTGTGTAGGTGTGTGCGTGTGACCCCCGATTGACCCAGATGCTAGCCGATAAATGCACGCGGTCAATAATTCATACTTCCAATTAAGCGTTTGTCGCTTGCCCGTTTGCCCGCTTGCTCATTTGCCATGCAGCTAATGGCAAATTGTATGCAATTAGTTGCTGAAAGCTGACCGACCGGTGCTCTCCCGCTCTCTCTCTTTGTGTGCGTCTGTGTGCTAGTGCTTGCTTGTGCCAATTTCCCGTCTTGCTCCAATTCCAGTTATCCTGCCAGTAACTTGCTTCTCATTAAGTGACACACACTCACACGCAAACGCTCACACACACTTTTTGCATTTGTCGCCTCAATTTGGGCGCATTGAAAGTTGGCGGCGAAGTCAGAACTCGTTTGACGACATCGACGGCTTAAAAGAAGCTACACAAAAGCACGCAGAATTGACACCAACACCAAAAACTAACGCTGAGAATGAAAAAGTAAAAAATAACTCATGCTCCATTTTGAGTGAAATTGTGTCACATAAGCAACAGCAGCAGCAGCAACAACAACAAGTGACGTTAATGAGGCGCAGGCTGCTGTCGCTGCCACTACCTCCACTGCTGCGCTCAGTCGCATCCCTGACCTGCTACTGGACGGTCGCAGTGCTGTGCTCTACTTTTTATTTTGGGACATAGAACAAAGAAGATAGCAAAGAGAGTGGGTAACTGCGAGAGCGCGCCAGTGTGTGGATAACCTGCCGCTGTCTATAGAAGCTCGTCATAGCTATGAACAATGTGCTGGCAGCTTGAAAGCTTTGCGTCCAAATTCGCAACGCTAAACTGCGTTATGAGGTCAAATAAATTAAAGCTCACGCCCACTGATGTGTGCAAAGGTAACAACAACTTAAAATAGATTTATAGCAAATATTTTAACAGAGCTTAGCACTTACATATAAAGCTGTGTATGCTGGAAAGTGTCTGGATTTACAGTAATTAGAACATTAAGCGGCTCAGCTGTCCATGTAAAGAGCAAACAGCAAACAGTAACAGCAGCCGACAGCTGTTAATAATAAAGCGCGAAAGTAAATTGCAATAGACGCCAGACGACCGACCACTCTCTCTCTCTTTGTCCCTCTCTTACTACTTGTCTTGTCTTGCTTGCGCACATACCCCCACATTGCTTCATTGTGCAAATATAATTAACATAACGTAAAGTAATCACAAAGTTGTGTGTAAAGAAAACGAAAATAAAAAGAAAAAATCTTCGTTTAACTTTCTTTTGTGCTGCTGCGTTTGGCTTCAGCTACAGCTTTGATTGCCAGCACGGCTTTTTGTACCGTTAGCCCAAGCAGTTGAGCCAAAAGCTGGTGAGAGAGGAAGAGAGAAAGATGAGGTGGGCTGAGGTGAGGTGAGATGAGGCCTTGTCCATTGTTTGTTGTTTTTGCAAACATTGAAAGCGATTGTCGCATTCTTTATGACTTCAAAAATATACTCGTAAGAATGATGGCTGGTGGCTGTCTGTATGTGTATATGGGTGTGCACTCACAATTTAGATGTAGCTGTATGTATGTGTCTATATTTGGACTGCGCTGTGCCTAATCCTCAGCAAGTGAGAAGCTTTTGAGCTTGACTTGGTATACTATATATGCATGTACATACATATATGTATGTATGTACATATGTATGTGGGTTGTATTTCTCCTTTGCTTCGGTGTCAAACTGTATAACTGATTTTAGTTTCATATTCATTTAGTTCTCGCCAGAGTTTTGACAGCCTTTGTGCTTCTAACACGACAACTTTGATTGCGTGTATATGTGTGTATCTACACGCAACAAAAAGCGCAAACAAACAACAAACTACACACAAGTGTCGTAATAAAAGGCTCAGACAGGGCAACATACACATACGGAGACACGCCCCCAACTGCACTTGCAGCAGAGTATTTTGAACTCGTGTAATCTCGGCGAAAAAAGAAGAAAAAGATATATACATATGTATATGTATATAAGTATATGTATATGTGTATGTATTTATGTACATGTTCGGCAGCAGCAGTAACAAAACTTTGCCAAATTGGGTCACACTTATCGTGTTTTGTCCCCCTCGCCCACACTGTGCAGCCTGTCAATGATGTTAAGCTGGTGAAATCCGCTATTCAGATCAAATAAAAAGTTTTTCAAACATGCAGGGCGCATCGGTTCTTTGACCCCACATAGAAATATATAAAGTATGAAATGTATCGAAAAGGTATCGTTTGACCTGCGGCTGCTGCTGTTGCTTATCAGAGCACCGAGCCGAACAAAATTGACCGCAGTTTGCAATTAAAGTTAAATTTCCTTTAAGCGGAAATGAAGTCGAGACTGTGAGACGGCGGCTGCACAGGTAATTACGAGCTTGAATTGGGAACATGGCCAATGTAATTGCTGTAGGGAACAACAAAAAAACTTCAATTTTTTCGGTATGGGGAAATTTCAGTTTGCCATAAAGCCAATCAAATCTTGCAAAGCCAGACAGATAACGGAATTTCACTTGTTTTTGTTTCGCTTTGAATTCCTGTTGACTTTTGACTTGAGCACAAAAGGGAAAATGGGAATAAGGGGCAATTCGGGACTTTATAAATATTTATGAATCAGCATTTTAAACGAAATTTGCTCTTGCGACAGCTGGCACGTGCTTGAGTGGAATATTAGGCAATGTTAACAAACTTGCCTTTAAAGATTGTTGTACTTTATAAAGGACGATAAATATGCAATAGCTGTACAAAAAGCTTCAGCCCAAAGTTCAAGTGACACAAAAAAGGAAATTTCATGACAATAAGATATTTTATTTATTGTTCTGCAATTCTGTAGTTTTATAAGGCTTTTCATAATTGAGTTTTTTCATTAAGTAACATTTTCATATTTAAACCTTCTGCAATTTAGTTACTTTTTTTTTGCAGCTCAGCGGTAAATGCATTTTCATTGTTGTAGACAGTAGCTTATGTATGTGTGAGTATGTGTGTGCTGCTGTCTGCTCATCTACATGCGTCATTCTGATATTGACATAGTGTCAGATGATGGGCACTTGCATGCACGAACAGAACAGCAAATACACACACACACATGCAAACACAGCCAGTAAACAGTATCATTTGACTCATGCTAGAGCGAGCGAGCATTAGCGGAACAGAGAGCGCGTAAGCTTTTGAGCCGCGCAGCAGCAGCAGCAGCAGCTGTAGAAGCGTCAAACACAAAGTTCATTCACATTTTTACTGCAATTAAGAGAAGCAACAGCAGCCGGCGCTCTCTCGGCTAACTGTCAATGTTGCCGCTTGGACGCTTCGCTGCTCGCGTTGTTGATGGCCGATCTTTATCATTGTCATCGCGCCGCACGGAACTATGTTTTTGTCGCTCTCTTTGCCCAGTGTGCGAAAGAGCATATTGGCAGATGAGGCAGCGCCGAAAGCTTTTATTTATTATCGAGATACTACAAATAGTAAAATATAATATTTAAAGTGAATTCAAAAAATCGATATAATTTGAATAACATATAATAATATGTAAATTATAATGTAAATACATATGTATGTATACAGCAGATGATGCGATATAATATTATTATTATCCCAGAGTATTGCTTAGTCGGCATTAGTTTTGTTTTAATAACTTCTCAAGTTTTTGCGTTATGGTTTCCTTTGGGAATAGTTGGCGCCATTACAAGTGTTTGCCCAGTGGGTGGGCCCTGCCATTGTTTATGTGTCTGTGCGTGTCTACAAACACTAACAATCGTTACACACACACACACGCAGACACAATTGGCTCGTCTGGCTAATGTCTTTTCTCGACGCTGTTTTTTGGCCACAACTTTGCGGCTGTTTAGTGAGTGTGGTCAGGGCCCTAATTGCTCCCGCTGCTCTTTTATGGCATGCTTCATGCACATCCACTGCCAAATAGCAAATACACATGTCTACACGCACACAAACAACACACACACACATTCTTACATGTACATATGTATTCTCATGTATTTGCTTTTCACTTTTGTTTGCACAAGGAATTTTAATGCTCAAAAAATGAAAAAAAAAGAAACAAGCTCAAAATTTGTTTTATCCCCCAGGTTTTTTTTTTAACAGTTTCTCTGGGTCATGATTCATACGAAATATATCCCTGGGGCATAATATTTGAGTGGCAAATAGTAGATTAACACTGTTTAAACAATTTCTACAATGGGATCAATGGGCTTGTCTTATAAACATTGTGGCATTACTGATGACTTTTGTATATTATGTAATTGCTATAATGTATACTTCTGATTAAGAGTTTATATAATAATCATAAGTCTGTATGTATATGTGATTAAGCAAATCTTAAGTTTCAATTGTGTGATTTTAGTGAGTAATTGTGTGTTTCGATTCTCTATGTCTATGAAATAAATAACTGCATGTCATTTTGTGCAGAATAGTACCTTAAAAATGTAATAACGTTAAATTTTTATATAGAGCTTCACGTAAAAGCTTTGACAGAGATGCGCTAAGCCTAACCGGTTCATTTTGTGAACTGATCAGCTGATTCAATTTCAAATTAAGCTTAGGCTTTAATTTATGCATCATAAATCGTTGTACATACATAGCTATCTACTCCCTTTAACCTCCATTTACTGGAAATTTCACACTAATAAAATCAAAAGTCAAATGACATTCACTAGATTTTCAAATAGTTATTATGCATTCAACTGTTACGACGTGCCCCAAAGCTAATTTTGTGCTTCCATTTATTTTGTATACAGACATACATACGCACATACATATATGTACATATATAGCATGTTTAATGTGGTTATACATATGGCTAATTTAGAACGGGGTAGCAACAATGGCTGGGCTGGCCAAAATATCTGACATTTCAATTCCAGCTTTGCCCTGCGGTGCTCGAATGCTCAAATGCCCAGACAAGGAGTCATAAAGCGCAGATACCCCCCGCCCATTTACTATAGTCTGCCTAGCCCCAACAACCGTCGAGCCGCTCCTGAAGCTCCTTTGCTCGGGTTTTTGTGTGCCATCCGGGCATACTTGAGATTTGGCGTGCCTGTCGTATGACATAATGTCAGCTACAACAACAAAAGCACACTCAAAGTGTTCTGCACCTAACCCACCCTCCTCTCTGCCTGTCTGCCCACTCTCTCTCTCTCTCTCCCCCTCTTTGTGCTCTCTTTCTGCTGGCATTGTCAAATGCACATGAAAATATCTCACTTTGAATAAATTCGTCATCGTTGTGAGGAACGGCGTCTGTGTGTGTGTGTGTGAGTGAGAGAATACGATTGTTATATGAATGTGTGTGTGTGTGTGTCTGCGTTATGTTAAGTAGCTGGAAATGTATATGAAAATAGCGGAGCTTAACCATAGGTGTAAAAGAGAGAGAGAGAGAGAGAGGAGAGCATCTAAGGCTGTGTAACTCAGCGAAATTTCAAATTGTGTGTTATTTTCTTCTTCTTCTCTTTTGCGAGCTTGCCTTCATAAAGTGCCTACGTGTTTGGATTTGAAAAGGCAATATACGAATGAGCTGTCACCCTGGCTATGATATAACACAATCGCTCTATAGATATTGGCATGCATAATAATAATAACAATTACGTGCACATATCATACACAAATATATATATACACACACACATTTACATACATATAAGTATGTAACTATAGATATGAACAGTTAATTTACTGCATGCACTTAATTGGCATTTTGCCAATTGTTTTTAATTAACCTCCAGCTAATGTTCGCTTCACATACATTTCCACAGTTAATAATCGCATTCTTTTGCCTCTTCTTGCAGAAAGCGTTAAATCCATTCTGGGTCGGCACACAAAGATCTTGGTCAAGTATATGGTCAAATTGGAAACGAAAGGCGATAAAACAGAGAATCGTGTCTTGGTAAGTGTCGAGTGCAGTGCAGCCAGACATCAATTGGCCTGGCCCCAGGTGCTGTATTTCCAGCATCTATGTACCTTGTCTCACCTGCCTCCCATCCATCCATCTGCCTGGGCCTGAGCTACAGATTTGCCGTGGCTCTGATTTGTATATGAAATTGCACGCTGAAATGATTCGCTTGAGGCTGTGCAGGCCAAATTGCATTCAAATGAGTTGTGATGCCCTGCAATTGACAGAGGCCATTCAATGGGGTGTATTTGTCAGTTGTATATATAGAAGGGAGTTTTATTATATTCATTACTTTGTTTCTCTTTCCTTACATAAATACATATGTCTCTTTTTAATTTTTGTCAGTCTCTTTCTCTTATAAAATAATTTACCCAGACCTCTGGCACCTTTTCCTTCTCCTACGCCCCCTCTACCTAGCTTTTGTACTTGTGCTCTCTGTCTATATCTGTCTGTCTCTCTCCATCCCACTCTCATTATATATTTTCTGCAGAGAATTTTATAGTCTATATAGCCTTCTCGTTCTGCCATTCCTCACTCTCTTGCTCCCCACATACCTCCATTGCTTTACAGAGCATTTGCTAGTCTATATAGTCTTTAATTTCTTCAGTCATAACCTCTTTCCTCTCTCCTTTTATCTTTCTCTATCATCTTCAATTTCAGCACTTATCTACCCAGACTCTTTTTCCTCTCTCTTCGCCTGCATCTCCCATCTTCCATCTATCTACCTGCCCGTTTATTAACCAGCAGCTGCTAGCCAGCTACCTTGAAGCCTCAAAACTCAATTAAAAGCCAAGCCAAAAGCCGAAGTTAAAGCACTTTAAAGTGCTTGGCTTCCACTTGCTGTCTCTTTCTCGTTTCGGCTCCTGCTCTTCGAGGGGCCGCATAGCTGTAAATGTAATTGATATTTTATAGCATACTTAGCGACGTTGTTGAATCCAATATACCCTGCCCTTTGGCTCCTGAGCGCTTGCAGTTTATGCTAATTTCTCGCCTCGTTTAGAGTCACATGACTGGAAAATTGATTTAGTTCGAGGCTTCGAGTCGAGCCGAGCCGAGAGCCGCACAAAATAAAAGCTGCTTAGTGAGACAAAGTGTCCAATTACCCGAGGCACAGACAAATGGCTACTTAGCAGTTACCATCGACAGCCCGTGCTTACTCTTCCCGCTTCCCACACCTCCACCTCCGCCTTCTCCTCTGCCTTATTTGGTGCCCAGTGTCTAAATGAATTACAGAACGCACTTTGATTTTCAATTAAATGCTGCAAAAAACTTTTCCTTTACACTCAAAGAAAATTGAGTTAGCCAACACTTTAGCTAGCGTCTACCTTCTGCCCCTCCCGCTACCCCCTCCACACTTTGCACTTCGTTTATTGCACCAGCTTTTACTTGCGCCTCGAAATTGGCAGCTCGACTGTAAAGCACATTTAGCCCCACAGCCCCAAGAGTACTTATATTTCTGACCTCAACATATGCACAAGCTTTTGCATGTGCATTCGAGGTGCACTCGGTGAAAATTTAAAGTACTTTGTACTTGACTTAAATTTAAGAGATCTATAAAACTAACTCAATTGTATTAAAAAATTAAGTGCTAATGGAAATAAAAGTAGTAGAAATTCCTCTAAGAGCATCATATGTAATATAAATATTTCCCTTGCATATATTATCTAAGTATATCATTCTCTCCCCTAATAAAAAAACTCTTTTTTTTCAGGTTTTTACGCCGGTTCGGGTTTATTTGCTCAGCGCCAAAGTGCCCACAAAGGTAGAGTATACACACACACAGTCTCTCTCTCTCTCTCTCTCTGTCTATACCGCATCAATTACAACTCAACTATCTCTTGATTCTCTAGATCGAATGCCATTTCCATTATCTGGATATTGTGGGCGTTGAGAGCAAAAAGTCAACACATTTCTCGATCATCACAAACGATCGTCCATATTCGTTTGTCACCACCGGCGATGCGGGCAACTTTAGCTCGGTAAGTAACTATACTATATGCTCGATTATATAGCCCATATCATCACTACATATATTGTATATATATCATTCACAGAATGCTGATGTCATATTGACCGATCTAGCCTCGGCGATCAAGCAAATATTTCCAACAGTTCCTCTCAAGTACATCATTAAAAAGGTAAGCATCAGAAAACCGAACACGCAATCGAAACATTTGTATTCGTATAATTGGCTCAAAACACGATATTGATAATATATATGTATGTAGGTAGATAGATAGTGTAGCTAGCTATATGATAAACTTGTATATATATGAGTGATATCAGCAGCCGCACTTTATATATCACTAACAAAAATAACAAAATTATTCAATAATGGATAAGCAAAAAAGAAAATAATAATTATTAACTATTTAACTTGTTAACATAATATGCATTAATATATGAAGTATTTTATCATGTGATATGCTATATAGTTAATCAAATATTATATTATCTATACTGAAAACCAATAATAATCAATATCAATTTCTTCAGTTAATGAAGCGTAAAATTCGATGCGAGTTTCGTCTTTAAGTAATTCAAAATCTTTCCTAAAATACTCTTTACGGTTCCTTTTAAACCCGCACAAGTCGCAAACTTTTCGTATTAAGTTTTTGCCTAACTTAGTTGCTTTATGGACTAAAAAAAAAAAGAAGCAACAACAAGTTGATAGCTCAATAACTAAAAGTTTCTTTCCAACTTTTTGCGCTTCTCTTCAGTTTTTGTCATTTTTGCGATATGTGCAAATTTCCATAGAAAATATGTTTTTATAGCGTGACTTGAAATTCTATAAAATATAAAAGTAAATGACTAAAGTTAAGCCATGACCAAATAATGTCAACAAATGCCGTACAATATACAATAATATAATGGTTAAAGTTGTTTTTGATTAAATTTTTTTTATAGTCTTTATATACATATGCAATAATTAATTAAATGGGTGTGGGTGAGCTTTGGCAGCGTTTCAGTCATTTTCTTTATAGCGCTGACTCACAATTTGCTTTTAATTAAAGCCCAATTAAATATTTAATGTGCAAGGGCTAAAAGTCAACTTAGCTTTTGACTTACAATTCATAAATTGCATAGATTAAAAATCGCTAGCATTAAATAAATAACAAATCGCATAGAGTTTTATGGCCCTATAAAAAAGTTTTGTTTGGCTAAGGCCATCTCGTTCTCACACATGTGTTTGTCTATGCTGTGAATTCTTGTGCTGGCTGTAGGGATACAATGTTAGTCTACGCTGCAGTAACAGTTTTCTGTTACGGCCCTACCAGTAAGTGAATGCCAGCATGTTAACGAACAGTTAACGGCCCTGTTAACCACAAGTAAGTGAATGCCAGCATGTTAACGAACAGTGATCACTCTGCTAACTACAGTATTTCACTCTGCTATAAATTTCTGTTCGCCGTACCGCAGCCATTTAAATTTAGTCCCAGCTTTATTTGTTACTTTTCATATATTTATATAAAGAAAATTCTTATTAAATAATCACTTCAGCCTAGATCGCTGCTCAAGTTGGTCCAAGGTGAAGTCTTAAATGATTTTGATGAAATTGTTAATGGAAGATTAGATTGCTGTGTAGGTCTACATTTACATATATGTGTTTATAGAGTTACTTGGGTGCGTAAATACCCACGCAAACACATAGGCCTACACACACACACGCGCGTTTGCTGCGCGTTGTTTCAATTAAGCGATTTGGATATGAAATTCGTTGCAGTTGCCGCTACTTGAGCTTAATAATTCAATGCATTTTAAATGAATCATTGTAATTGCTGTTGTTGTTGTTGTTGTTGCTGTTGCTGTAAGTTATGCTGCCTGCATTTGTATGCAAATCTCCACTTGACTCATCGCCAGCTCGACATTGTGTCTGGCATTTGTTGAAAACTTTGCATTTTTGTAATATTTGTGAGCCCCGTGTCTTGGGCGTATTTCAAGCAGCCAACAACAATGGCCGTAACAATAGCAATTACAACAACAGCTACAACAGATGGGCGAACAAAGTGAAAAAGATAATTGGCCCAAAGCACGCAAAGTTAGCGTCAAACTCTTGAAAGTGTTAATGGCGCTGTTAACGCGTTTAAATCGCGCATAGACAACGATTAGCTGAGCTTCACTTACCTTGACTTGCCTTAACTAATCTCTCTCTCTCTCTCTGTCTCTTTTTCTTTCTCTAGATCGACATACAGCCACCGGAGCGAGAGACAATATTCTCAGAGGAATTTCGTCCCTCGGATCCGCGTAATGTTGGTCCCTGCGGCGGCTTTAGCGCTCAATATGCCTGCATGTGCGATTTCCATGGCGTGCCCTATCGCGAGGAGGTGGCCTGGGATGTGGACACGATTTACCTGTCCCATGACACACGGCTGCTCAATCTGCGCGATTTCGATCATCTGGAGCCCAAGTGAGTGTTCAAGTTTAGGATACTTTAAAAGTTACCGCCCTCTGTTAGCTGTATGTTAATGTTAACTAATTCAACTGTTCATCCGTTCCAGAGACTTGATGGCCATTGTCTCGGCCCTGGAGTATAATACGTTTTTTCGTGGCTTAAAGGCGGCTCACATGCGTCTCTCCCACGAGACGCTGGAGCGCATTCTGCACGTGCTCAAGCGTTCGATGTGGCTAGAGGAGCTGCATCTGGAGGCACTAGGTTTAAGGTGAGTGTTCTCTAATATATAAAAGTGTGCGATCTATGCTAATTTGTTGCTCTCTCCATTTCAGATGGGATTTCTTGAATAAGCTATCCATATCTGTGATTACGAACAGCAGTCCAGCGATACGCACCATCGATTTGAGTCACAATATAATCGAGGACAAAGGTGTGTAGCACAGTGAACACACGCTAGCGTGTACCAGACCTACCCGACCCAAGAGCAGTCGAATTTATTATTAAACCAATTAATCCAACTAACTGCGTTTCTCTTTTACTCCTAACATATTAACCACAATTATTGTTTAACATTGTTTTCTTTTTGTGTTTTCTTTTCTTTTTGTTTAATGTTTATTTTACATATGCAATATGTGTGTGCGTGTGCGTGTGTTTCTGCATTTGTGTGTGTATAGGAGCTAGCTCATTGTGCGCTCTACTGGGAAAGATTGTACAAGGTTTGCAGAATCCCCATTTGACACACATTTATAAAACTCACTTTAGATAAAACGAACTCTAATTAGGTTTCAAAATTCGATTCGAATCACAATTAAATTTACATTTGCATTGTTGTTGTTAATGTTCAATGTTATTGTTAATGTTCATGTTAATGCTAATCGCTGTTTCATTTAATCATAATATGCGATATCATTTCCATTCTTAATGTGCTTATGTGACCTTAACTAGCTATAAATTGATGACTTATGTAAAAAAAAACTCAAATTCATATAAATATATTATTCATTCATTCCTGTTTGGCCGGACTATACTCATGATTCTTGTGAAATTCCTGATTTTCACACTCACTCTAATATATTTGTATATGAGTCTATATATGTATAATAAATTTCTCTTAAAGCTAATGTCTTATATCTAGTATCAAATATCGGAACATTTCCACTTTGATGTCTTGCTTATAATTCCTCAACTGAAATAGAATTGTAGACTCTATATATACATATAATTTATCAAATCGTAATCATGATATGATATCATGTATATTATAAATCTTAGCTTAGTAATCTTAAGGAATATTAACATTTTATTGTAAATATTTAGCTTCATGCAATTCATAAAAAGAAAGAATTTAATAATTAAATTAATTTATTATATATCAATAATCTTTCTACGATCTATCATACAAATTCAATATCATATATCAGAGATCTTTCATACAAATAATATTATGTATATATATCATATTTCTTAGCCAAATTTTATTCACATCGCAATGCCGGTCACATAAGCAAATTCATGGCAGTTCTCTCTAGCTCTCTGTCTGTCTATATATATATGTTCACATCTATATTCACATTCACATTCATGTCGCTTGCTTCACGCCTTTTGCTCTCTATGTACATTCAAAATTTCTTGATAGATTGGCAATGAAAACAAAAATATAAAAAACAAATGCAAATTTCTATTTCATTTATATATTAATTTGTTGATCATCATTGATTCAATACAGAAAATTAATACAAATTTCTTTCATTTGATCAGGCGCTATACATTTGGCTGGACCCATTGCCAAGGTATCGAAGGGTCTCTGCAAATTGGCCCTTGCCCATTGTGGACTCACCTCGAAGGGTGTCAATCAGATGTCGCATTCGCTTTCGCTCAATCAAAGTATTCCCAACTCGCTCACCTATTTGGATCTGAGCGGTAACAGTCTCAAGGATGATATAACCGTAAGTAAAATATATACATACATACATATCTCAAATTTATTAATATAATTTGATTGACTTACAGAATTTGCACAATTTCCTGGCTCAACCAAATGTGCTGGAGCATCTAGATCTGGCATCGACTGATATTACGCTAGAAAATGTAAGTAATGTTAAGATGTTAACAGCTCATAACATAGCTGTGTTATTAACAGAGTGCTTTTATGTCAAATGATTAATTTAACATTTTCCCCTTTCCCTATCATTTGCAGCTGTTTGGAGCTCTGTTGCGAGGCTGTGCCACGCACCTGTCTCACCTGAATGTCTCGCACAACTCGTTCAGTACGAAGAAGGGCAAAGAGATACCGCCGTCATTTAAGCAGTTCTTTACCAGCACGCTGAGCCTGAAGCACTTGAACATAGCCGGCTGCAAGCTGCCAATGGAGGCGCTGAAGAATCTGTTGCTGGGCCTCGCCTGCAATGAGTCGACGGCGGGACTCCATCTCGATCTGAGCAGCAACACGCTGGGTGCTCAAGGTGCTCACGTTCTGGAGTCCTGCATACACGGCGTGCGTGTGCTTCAGAGCCTGGACATCAGTGACAATAGTAAGTGGACGAAGAAGAGGATGAGGCCAATGATTCATATTGATTGATGATATTCAATTTCCTTTTCTAGATTTGGATGCGGAGCTGGCGCCTGTGCTGTCAGCCATATCGAAGAATCCTTCGATACGATCGCTGTATCTGACGCGCAGCATGACGGGCATGAAGCCCAAGCATATACCCACAGTCATGGATGCCCTGGTGAATCTCATCCAAAAGGATGATTTCCCACTGGTGGAGCTGGTGCTGTCGGAGAACAAGTTGAAACACGATCTGCACGACTTCATCAATGCCTTGGGCAGCAATCAGAGCCTGCAGAAACTGGACATCAGCGGCAACTATATGGGCGATGTGGGTGCTCGACTCCTGGCCAAGGCGCTGCAGATCAATAATCGACTGCGCACCATTTACCTGGACAAGAACAGCGTCACCCTGCAGGGATATGCGGATATTGTTTATGCCTTGGAGCATAATCATTGCATGCGGACGATTCCATTTCCGGTATTTGATATAGCGCCGCATCTGAAGAATCATCCGGAGAAAACGGATACCGTAATGCGAAAGATGCAGGAGCTGCTGCAGCGCAACTGCAACGGGCTGAAGCGTGCGAATGGCCAAGGATTTAGGCTGCAGCACGGCTTCATGCTCTCCTCCACACACCAGCTGGTGGACAAGCTGGTCGCTGAGACACAGGACACCCTTTCGATAGCCAAAGGAGGCGGCGACAATGTCTCGGCGGTGCAACGTCTGATCACAGATGCAGAGAACTGCAAGCAGCTGATGCCCAAACTGCAGGAGGCTGTGCGCACCGATGCGCATCCCATCGAAACGAAGCTGACCCGTGTCGCCAGCGAACTGAGCTACACGATTCGCAGCTATCTGGAGGAGACACTGGAGACCATGATACGCACGGGCATCGAGCAGTGCCCCAAAACGCTGGGCAATCAAATTGTTATACAAGATCTGCGCAAAGCGCTCAACGAGCGGCTCCTGATACCCGAAGATTTTCTGCAAAACTGTTTGCTCAACAATGCCGGCAGCGAGATTATGAACAAAGTTGGGTGAGTAAACACAGAAGAGAACCCAGAGAAGAGCAAGGCCGACAGCAATGTGTGTGTGTGCGTGTGGCTTTGTGCGTGCCTGTGTGTGTGTGCTTGGGCGCCGCTGTGAGTCTGAGTGTGACTCAGTCAGAAACTGAGGCAGACAAGATGACGCGTTCATCAGTTAAATCTGATACTCTCACGCTCGCACACACTTACACACACGCACTGTGATTGCTGAGCTACGCAATAACGTTACAAAATATTGATCAATAAACAAAGAGAGATATGTATGTGGCGTTTAAAAAACAATACTAACTCAGTATAATATTTTATTCATTTTGGAACTGTTTCAAACCAAATTTATTAATTACAAGTTTTTTTTATTTGTATATAAATTGTACATATTTTTTATTAGATTTTAGCAAAATTAATATGATAGCAATGTCACATTAGCACGCTAATTGATATTGCTCATAAGTGCACACGTTCTTGCTTAACGCCAAAAAGCTAGAAAATTAAAATATTTTGTATTAAAAAAGACACAAGTATGGCATTGAATTCATGACACACTTTGATAATGTTTCCGCCTCACTGTTCGATTTGCAGCTTACAAGTCTCTCTCATAAGTGCATAAAGGAGAAATAAAACAAAAACAATGTAAAGAAAAGCTCGACTCCTCTCTAACAGCTGAGCTTGCCAATTTGTTGTTTTCAAAACACACTTTGTGTGCACGCGCTCTCTCGCTCTCTTTATCGTGCTCTCTTGACGCTCACCCACACACAAACACATGCACGCAATCTGTGAAGTATTTTACTCATCGCCTGTTTCGGTGCGTGCATGTGTGTGTGTTTGTGTGTCTGAGCGCACAGATAAGATTAAGCAAACAGAAAATAACTTAACAGCTGAATGCATTTCCATTTGAAAGCCCAAACGGGTGCTGTCGCCCAGCTTACCAAAAAAAACTTACATAAAATACATTCACATTTTGTGCGCTAGTGTGTGTGTGGTTGTTTAACATTTGCTCCGCGGCAGCAAATCGAGTTGAGCCCAAGCTGCGCGTGTAGCAGCGCAGGCGAATTCATTGTCAGTTTGAGTGCCGTTAAGTTTACTACAGTGCCAGTTAGTTAGTTCAGTTTTGTTTTGTTTTGTTCTTTCTGCTTCCTCGTTTTTTTGTGCTGTGCGCGCTCCGACAGCTGTTCACCAAGATGGGCCTAATGCGCAGTTTATGCTGTTGCTTTAGAGGCAACTCGAGTGCCGGTGACAGCGGCGTCACTCGGCCAGCCTATAGCAAGTGTCCCGATGAGGATCAGGAAGGCGAAACAGGGACGGCAACAGTGTCGCCAAAAGCCACAAAGTAGATTGACCGCCACCGAACCCCCGCAATGTCAAACTTCCATATCTAATGCAAATCTTTTGTCATCTCTCTTTCTCTTTTCCGCTTGCGCAGTGAAATCGAGCAATCGCTAGCAGCTGCCATTTCGGATCGTGCTACAGATGAGGTGCTGGAGGCGCTGACACGCTATCGTCGCGGTCATGGCATATCGGAATCGCCATCGGTGCTGCTGGATGAGCCGCAGACGCCGGACATTGTTCGCAGTCGTTCCAGTCATGTAAGTAGCACAACCAAAATCGATCGGCCAATCAAACCCCCGAAAATAGATAACAGCTTTGTTATCTATGATTACGTTCAATTTAATAACAAATGTGATGTCATATTCAAAACTTTTTATGGGCTAAGCACCAGCATAAATATATGGAGCGCTTCATTTGTAGAATTACTGTCGTTTGACCCACAGGCGAATCCTATTTACTAACTTCCTATCTCTCTCTCTCTTTTTCGCTCTCTGCATTCCTGTAGGAAGCTGAGGGCCTTATTATACGACCCGGCGGACGTGGCTCGGTTTTGCCCAAACTGGGCCTGGAATCGCCCACTGTAAGTGTTGAAAATCTCTCGCTGCCCAAGTGGATGCAATAGCCTACAAAATAAATGCAAATTGCAAGTGCAAAAAACCAAACCCATTAAACATTAATAAGTGAATAAATGTATATTAATAACAATATATATATATACAAGTAGTGGAAAATAATCACAAATACACACACACATATATATATACACCCACCCGCCACAGGCTTATCGCAAAACTTAAGAAATGTGTGCATATAAAATCGTAAGAAAAAATTCTAGACGGGAGCGTATCTTATAACGTATACATAATGAAAACAAAATGCCAAACAGCTTAGAATACACATACCTACACTCACACATACACACACACACACACACACACATACACTCACACACATACCCATTCATACATCTACAAAGAAATCTTCTATGTGAAAAAAAGTCTAAGAGAAAATGAAACAAAGACAAAGCTCATTATTTTTATCTCTCGTGTTCTTCTCGTGTATCCTTGTATCATCCAAACTATTCATCAACAATCACAACAACAACAACAACAACAACTACTGCTACGCAACATCCAACATACCCTATAAACATATAATATACATTTTATATATATCCGTACAAATATCTACAACATATATAAATATATATATATTAAAACCTTATCTCCAACTCATTTACATAAAACAAAAAATATATATATATTAAAAAATATATTTATATATATATCACAAACTCTTAAAGAAATTGGAATATCTGAACCTTGTAAGTAGTTTTTTATGTCTTGTTCTATCTAAAAAAAAAAACTATCCATACTTTAATTAGAAACAAAACTATCCTATTCTTATCTATCTATATAGAGCGACAGCTGTCTTTGGTTTATAATTTTTAAACTGAAAGTTTTAGAATACATTTTATTTTTTTATTAAGTTTTTATCTATATGTATTTTTAATTTATAATTTAAACTCTTTTTTTTATTTTATACTGATTATAATATGTATAATAATTGTATGATTTTTTTTTAAAATATTTTAATTGCATTTTTATGCATTTTTTTGTAAATTTATTGATTATTATTTCTGTTTGTGTTTATATATTTTTGTTTATTTTTTAATTTTTATTTCCTTAACAGTTTGTTCGTTAATATAGAGCTATCACCGTATACCTCCTCACTACACTGTCTCTGTGTCCACCTTTTCCTGGTCTTTGTAGCACTGTGTGTATCTATTAGCAATAATTTAGTTTAAAAAGTAGCTAATTTTATTTGTATTATTTTAAGTAATTAAATTTCCTGCTAAAAAAAACGTCCCGCACATCCGCTCTCATCATTTCACACACATGCATATATCAAGAACATAACCTAACATTATATACATATACATATATATATATACATAACTGATTCTCTGAAGAAATGCAACTGCTAACTGTTCTTTGTCTCTGCGCAGGCCACGCCTCATTTGCCATCGAAACGTCGCTCAATCGCCCGCAAGGTGCGTCCCCAATCGGTGGTGGAGAATCTCAGCTTGAGCCACATTCCCGATCTGCTGGAGTCGCCTTCGTCGCATCGTTCCAACTCACAGCTGACATCGCGTGGTGGAATCGGTGCCGCTGCAGCAGCAGCCGGTGGCGGCGCCTCGGCTGTGAACATGATGTCTAGCAGCATCAGCAATGCGGCCATGGATGATGGCAACGTGGATGAGGGCTGTGACTCCATAACGGAGCTGCCCAGTGCCTCGTTTCAGCTGCAGCATCTTGTCAAGGGACGACCCAAGCGGGCCAAGACGCGTGCCCCAACTCGTCCGCTCGTGAATGCGGAATGCGCTGTCGGCGCAGTCCGAGACATTGGCGATGGCCTGGAGCACTTCTTTCGGCCCGGCTCGGTGACGCCCACAACGCTAACGCCCCTCGTGTCGCCCACATCCGAGGAGTGCAGCTCACTGTCATTCGTGGACAGCCCAACGATGAGTCGCGATGGCAACGGCCACATGACCTCAGAGGAGACAACGCCCATACTGGAGGAACGGAGGCCCATCAAACTGGAGCGCCAGTCGCCCTTGCTCAAGAGTAAGTGAATCGCGAATCAAGTTTGACAGATTTACTTACTCTTCTCTGTCTTCACAGGCGCCTCCTGGGCCACACGTTCGCGTTCCACGGACAATCTGGAGAAATATTCGCCGCTGGTGGGTCGCAAATCGCCGCTGGTCAAAATGCGCACAGAGGGCGGAGCAGGCAATGAGGAGGCAGCAACCACAGCCGCACCCACTGGAGGTCTACTGAAGGCAGCCACGCGCGACGAGAAGATGCGCTCGCCCAGCAGCGACTCGATCAAGAGCCATGCCGCTGGTTCCAGCTCCCTGACCGTAGGCACCGATGGCAGTCTGTTGGTGAAGACAGCCACCGGCAATGGCATCTTGCGCACGCCCATTGCGCTGCAGAAGCCACGACCCTGGTCTGTCGTGGGCACCGAGCCGAAGGTCAACGAACAGCTGGCCACGGGCAATGGCAGCGTGGACTCTACCAAGACAACGCCGGATACGCTGGAAGAAGGTGCGTGATTAGTGGTTTAGTAAAGGATTAGCCTAATATTTGTACTTGCCTTTGCAGATGTGGAGGTGCTGCCATTTGTTCAGGGCGCAGGCGGCTCCATTGTGGGCATAACACCGGGCATTGCTTTGGCATCGGGCGGCAGCGGCGGTGGCAGCATTGTAGGCATAACGCCAGGTGAGCTGAGCTTGAATTAAAATTTGAATGAATCAAGTCTAAATGTTGTGCATCTTTGACAGGCGCTGCTCTGGAGAAGAAGTCGGTGCGAGAGCTAGCCGCAGGCCTCAGTCGTTTGGGTAAGCATGAGTAGACGTGGCTCCTGTTGCATGTCTGTCCGCCTGCCACACTTGGAGTGCAACCTGAATGCGTAGAGATATATAGAGATATATGTATATTTTGATTTTTATGTTTTCTTTATTTATTTTCATATTATTTGATTTGTGCTTGTTCCCTAAACTTGTCTTGTATTATCCAACCAACCAAAAAACCAACAATCAATATCCAAAGATCTGCCCATCAAGCCGCCCATCATGCCACGAACTATGTTGAACACAGCCAATCGTTCGAGCAACATCAGCAACGCCAGCAGCACAGCCAGCAACAACAGCACAACGACGACAGTATTAAACAATCAGACGCGCTCGAAGATTATCAGCACGAGTAGTACCAACACCGAGACGCAGGAGACGCTCAGCAAAACGATTATAACTGAGCATGGAAACACCAGCAGTAGCAGCAGCAGCAGCAGCAGCAACAGCAGCAGCAGCAGCAATGCGCACAGCATCTCAAGCTCAAGTTCGAGCAACAGTCGTGCCATTGCCTGTGCGAATCTGATTAGCAATGAGATTCTGAGCATGCGCAACGGTCAGCTGAACAAGACGAACAGCTGCGCTGAGAGCAGTACTAAGAGAATTGCGGGCAAAGAGATATCGACACTATTCGAGGTTTGATGGGATTAACTATGTCAGCATCAGCTCAGCATGAGCATCATCAACGCGTTGTCTCTGTGTGGTGCAGCATCTGGCTTTTACATTGTTTTTGTGGCTCTTAAATGTTCTTCCATTTGTTGCCTGGTGCTCGTATTCATTTAATATAGTTTTTGTGTTTTATTTGTTAATAAGTATTGCTTGTTTTGTATTAGTCTAGCTGTAGAGCATGTATATATGTATGTGTATGATGTATATATATATATATTTAATCGAGGTCCATAATCAATTTCAATTCCACAGGAGACATTAGTTGAAGGCCTGCAACGCACCTCGACGAGACGCACGTTTAGAGACTCGCCCTATACGAAAGAGGATGTCGTTGATTTATAAAAACTGTCTATTATATATAGTATATATATATATATATATATAACTCAACATTCCTCCTTGATATCCCCGATTTCCCTTCGAAAATCACCAGACTTCAAGTTATAATGATAATGTTTATGATAATAACGGTAAAGATAATGAGCAAAACGGTTGCAACTATTCGTACTGAACAATTTAATTAATGTGCAATGACGCCAGCATGTATGTGTGTGTGACTGTGTGTGAGCGAATGTGTGTAAGTCTGTCAGCGAGTGTGCATGTGTGTGTGTGTGTGAATTTGTTTTCTCTTTTATTTTAAATCTTTGGCAATTTTCAAATGATCGTGATTTATTTATTTATACTTTTTATCCCAAATAAACTTTTTGCATATATTTATAAACAAAAGGAAAAACAAAACTAAAAGAGAAGATGAAAGAAACCAACGTTTTTTATGTACTATATTTTTATGTATTTTAAATGAGTTAAGTGCCAATTATATACAACAAAACAAATCTATTTTTCAATTTGTCTATTAAAAACTAAAAACAAACAAAAAAAACCTAAAAAATTACGAAGAAACTAACGAAGCGAACGCAATGAATATTCTGATAAAAATATATATAAATATTTATATATAAATAAATAAATAAAAATATGTAAATCGTTTGCGTGCATAAAAACTAATTTAAATGAAATATAATATTTTTTATAAATGCTTCCAAAATATCTATATCTATAAATATATTGTTTTTATTTATCCATTATTGATTTCGTATGAACGACAATCTGTTTCGATTTAAATATACATATTTTAGGTTTCATTTTTGTTTAATTTCTAAAAAGTTAACAAACTTACGCTAAGCAACTAGGCAGAAAAACAAATCAATCATCAATTTACAAATTCAAACTGGACACATGTAGTTTGCACTGAATATTAACAAATTAAGTGTTTATTAAAAGCATTTAAATTCAATCCACCACCACCGAACCGCAAATACGCTTCGATTTTAGAAGTGTTTCCTCCCCATTCAAATAGTTGGCTCAAATATGTAGTTGCCATTCAATTCAAGGACAAAATCGAAAACGAAATAATTGTATCGTGTTCATTAAAGTTTAAGCATTTGCAAATTTATTGTAATGTATTAAAATTCAAATTAAAATCAAATCAAAAGTATTCGACTTGCATTTTCGATTTGATTCTGACGGTTTGTATCGATAACTTTTGAAACCTATTTCGATTTTTATATCGAGCTGCTTGTTTTTGGTACTTTCGTATTCGCGAAAGACGGCCACACTGTATTACTAACTCGCGTCGGCTTTCGGTGTTTTTTGTGGATTAAATTAAAACGAAAATAAAAATTGCAATTGCATTTATATTTTTGTTGCAATTAATTAACTGCCTGCCCTGCCGAGATGGTTAAACTAACGCCGGAGTTGATAAACCAGTCCATGCAATACATAAATCCATGCCGTGAACGCGAGCTCGATTTGCGCGGCTACAAGATTCCACAAATTGAGAACTTGGGTGCCACATTGGATCAGTTTGATACGATTGATCTCTCGGACAACGATCTGCGTAAGCTGGACAACCTGCCACATCTGCCACGACTGAAGTGTCTGTTACTCAACAACAATCGCATCTTACGTATCAGTGAGGGCCTGGAGGAAGTTATTCCAAATCTGAGCTCCATTATACTGACGGGCAACAATTTGCAGGAGCTGAGTGACTTGGAACCGCTTACAGGGTTCAAGAAGCTGGAGACCATATGTCTGCTTATCAATCCGGTGTCCACGAAACCAAACTACCGCGAGTATATGGCCTACAAGTTTCCACAGTTGCGTCTGCTGGACTTTAGGAAGATCAAACAGAAAGATAGGCAACAAGCTCAGGAGTTCTTCCGCACCAAGCAGGGCAAAGATATGCTCAAAGAGGTGTCCAAAAAATCGAAATTAAGCGCCGCCGCTGCACTGGCAGCCGAGGCAAGCAACGGCAAGACAGCAGCTGAAGGCGGACGTTTTGCCAATCCTGAAGATATGCAACGCATACGAGAAGCAATCAAGCGAGCGAGCTCCCTGGCGGAGGTAGAGAGACTGTCACAGATTCTACAGAGCGGCCAGCTACCAGACAAGTTTCAGCACGAATTGGAACAGAATGGGCACAACGGAACTTCAGCTGTGCCGGCTGTAGATATGGATTACTAAATCTAAATCTAGCCCTGTCGTCAGCTACCTTGTTAGTGTAGAATAATATATATTTTAATAAAAGTAGAGTCAGCGTAGAGTCAAATCTAAATAGATATCTTCTATGTTTATTATTATTCATCGATCTCAACAGGTTGCTGACTTTGTGTATTTTTCACAGAAAAAATCTCAAAATCGCAATACAACCAGCGATTATTTGTAAATATTTAAATCAAATGCACACACATAATTTACGTAATTCGCTAAAAGGGTTTCAACAATTTACAAACGGACAAAATAGGTATATTTAAGTTGGGCAATTAGTAAATATGCTTTGGCTCTGCAAAATGCATTTGCGGGAATAGCATTTGGACTCTGGAATTGGTTATTGTTATTGCTTGTATTGCAGCGTGGTCTTTCTCCTCACTTCTTCTTCCCCTCTCATTGATGCCTGCCTCTAATTTCATTGATATGGTTAGTATTATGAGTTCTTTGTGGCCATTATTGTGTCGTAGTGCAGTCCGGTGTAGAAGATGATCCACGTCACTAAAAAGCCGGCAAAGGATGTCATAAAGCCCTCCTTCACTAGTTCCCACACACCGCCGTAAGCATCCTCATCCACGTTCTGGAAGTTTATGGCATACAGGTAGACAACGCCACAGCTAATGCCGGCAAAACTGCAAAAGAATTCATACATATTTAGCTACAGCACGTTCTATATTTAGGCGCTGGCTCCACTTACAGTACGAGGCCCAGAAAGCCTTTCAACGGCACTATTCCCCAGATGATGCCGAGTATGATGCCAAACACCTGGCGTGACCAGTAGATAACATCTAGAAATTCATCCTGTAAATGTCAGAAAATTATAAGGGTACACAAGAAAAAAACATGCGCTGCTCTTTGGATAGCTCACCTTGTCTTCCCATTCGGATTTTGTCATTGCTCGCGCGCAAATTTCACGAAGCGACGAGGATTTGGTGGTGCCATTGGCATTACGTTCAATAGTATTCGTTCTAGTTGCCATTTTTTATGTGACCTACTTTTTTAACTAATACTTTCCACTCACTTAAAATTAATTAAAATTTTTTCACTATCAGTATGGCTATGCCGATATCATTTACAAGTTGTATTACCGATAAATTTGCCTAATCATTAATAGAACAGCTGTGGAGTTCGCTCATGCTCGCTCCAATGAACTAAAACGACTCGCACATGTTCACATGAATTTTATTTCATGCAACTCTGCTGTGGTTATGTGAGCGTGTTTACACTTTGATGAATACAAAAATGTTAAAACTAAGTACACTCTGCCTTGCAAATCCCGCTGTAATTAACGGTAAGTAGTCCATAGTTTATATTAATATACACTTTTATTTATTAAAAAAAAACTGTTGTTCACCGCGAAATAGCACAGCGGCATGTGGCGCTTAGTGCCGTACGCTGCGTCGATCAGGGCTGGCGAGCGGCAAAGGGACTGCCCGAGAATCCAAATGCATTTGGTCCACTCACAAATTTTCCGGATTACACATACCTGGACGGCAGACCAACCCCACTGGGCGTATGTATTTCAGAAGGGAATATAAATTGTAGTCTAACTCTTATTGCTTTGTAGTCCAATCAGCATAAGCGCCTACTGAAGCAACAGGAGATTGCGGCCAAAATTGTGGAGCTAAGCAGCGAATTAGACTTTGCGAAGGAGCGCCACGAACGTCTTAAAAAGCAGGCCCAGGCTGAAAAGCAACGCATCATACAGAATAAGCTGAAACCCAAAGGACATCTACTGTTAAAGAAGAAATAATTCTGTTAACTTAACCTTAAATGTAAATTAACTTTAATGTTATATTTCTATTACATAGACATGATTGTTAATCGGCTAACGCTTCACTCCAAACGGGTTTATTGTTTTTATTAATTTTTGATTGATTGAATGTCAAGTTCATTACGTGGTGGAAGACGTAGGCACCGCTTAAATGAATGGTAATTAAATTTGAATCTCAAAAAGTTCTTATGACGCGCTCTATCTGGCCAACAACCTGTCCTGCCAATTAGTTTGGCTAGCTCTCAACCCATGTGATATCTAGACTTCTCACTTTAAAAGAGAGTAACTCATATGTCACGTATGCTTTCTTTATATAATTTTATATGTAAACACGGAAGTATATACACATCTATATCGCTAGTAACAACGTTCACTGTCCTGCTCAATACTAAAAGATAGTGCTGGCTGATCGTAAGAATCACGTCTTGAAATGTTTATATGCCTTATAAATTAACAGTTGCAAAGCATTTAATGTTTACATTCCCAAAGCCGATACCGATTCTGACTTTTAGCTCACATTGTAATTATCAATTAGACGTGAAATATTTAAAATAAAAATTCAGAAAGGCCGAACAGGTGTACGAATCACAGGTCAGAACCTTTGCTAGCCTGCAAATAATGCTCGCATATAAGAAACAGCTAGACATTATATTTTCCACATTATATTTGCAAATGAATTAGAACTTTAATGTGCTATAATTAAATATTGATATATTTAGTTATTTATTTACGATCGGAGACGCTGCCCAGCCACCCAGCCATTCAGCCGCCCAGCAGTCCAGCAATGCATGAAGGAAATTTCCCACCAATTTAGTACAGACAAACAACAATAAGTAAGGCGGCAGATGTATAAAAATCTTCAACTGTCGAATTTATTGCAATTAATTAGCTGAAAGATACGAAAAGTATCACAACAAGCTGAAGACTGAGAGAAGCAGACAAAATAATAATATTCGTACTCTCACTTGGAGTAGGTGCTATATTTTACAATGCAGATCTGGGGCCGTTGGTTAGTAGAAACGTGCTTTGAAAACGTGCGCTAATAATGTCGTTGACCAAAGGCCACAAATTAGTAAAATAGCCCTCTAATTTGAACCACTCATTAACCCAGGGCGTATACGTGATAAATGTTGAAATGTTTCACTGCTGGATGCACTCGGCGTATTCTTAATATTCGTTAAAAATACATACATATATTTACGACTGCTACTATTGTATTTATCTACGAGCTTACAGTGATTATTTTTATTTGAATTGTACAATTTCACACTCAATATGGAGCAGCCAAAATATTGACAAATGCGTCGTTTATTTATGAAAAGTAATACATATATATATATATATAGAAATATTGTTGAAAACACATTCGCTGTTGATTGACTGATTGTGTTGTTGTTTACAAGTATCACTTATATTATTTAATTTTATGCCAGCAACATTTTGATATAATTAGCACAATTATATTTATATTAAATGAAATCAATTTACAAATCAAAAAATTTGAGTTGTAATATAAGAAACCAGAATGAATTTTTATTAAACAAGACCGCAAAAGAGGGGTAAAGATATGAGTTCTATATCGACAAATGAGATTTTAAGCCAACTTTAGGCATTTAAAGCTACTGCTTTATATAGTGGAAGTAGCTTAGTACAAGAAAATCTTACCGATGATAGCTAAAAATAATAAAATGTACCTATGAATCATTATGGCTATTTTAATATAGCCGACATGCTAATCTATGGCTATTTTTAAATTTCTGTACCAGGAATATCCTATATATATCGATATACATACATGAATGTAACCGCAAACAAAAATAACATTCCACAAATTAAGATGATTTAACTTGTCTAGCGACGACAATTTTCATGCTCATGGGAATTATACAAATTCCACACACAAGCTAAACTTAATTAAAGAATAAACAATTCATTTCAAGTTGTCAAATCTTTCCGCATTGTTAAAAGTTTTCCAAATGAAACTAGAATCGCGCACGCGGCAGATCGAGTAAATCAATTAGAGCCTGGACCACAGTGTGAATCATGAGAAGATGTCGCGACGCATACGAATCGAACCGGCTGCTTAAATCAAAGAGATCGTCGCAGTGACAGAAAATTGCGTCATAACATAGCGGGCAAGTGAAAATATAATTAAAAGCTATAGCAATAACAACATATGTATATTTTCACATTTGGGTGCGAAGAGGCACACTGAGTTTTTTTGTATATAAGTGTGTGATTCTTTGGAGTTCAGCATACAGAACCCAAACAGCAAACGATCCAAGCATATCTAGCAACTCAAGGATAAACACTGAAAGGATAATGGAGTTGAACGTAAGCAAGTCTTTACCATATTCTTTCTATACAATATATTATATATTATATGGTTCATTCACAGCAATTTTATACCTGGTTAAGCCTGCTACTCAGCATCATGATCTGTAAATTAACGCAGTGCCATGCCAAGCCCATATATTACGATGTTGACAGCTATGAGAGTGGGTATGGACGCAGCTACGATCACAAGAGTTACGATAACTCATATGCCTTCACCTATGGCAAGCCCCTCACATCGGATCATATTGATAAGCTAAACACCGGCTACTACTACGTGGATAATGGCTATATAGCGCCTGTGTCCAGCTCGATTGCCTCCAGTCAACGCAGTCTCTATCCATATAGTAGCGGCGAGTTTTCGGATAGTTACAAGTTCTCTCCCATCCTGCGCTATAGGAAGTCGCGCACAAAGCGCAAGAAGCTCTTCGTGCCCAACTTCTTTGGCTAAACTGAAAAAATGTCCTGGCCAAGAGAGACCACAGACTGATGCTGAATATTGTTATTTAGTATTGTTACAATGTTATCAACAAGTACCTTATCTAAATTAGACTAATAATACAGTTTTTTTTTAAATAAATATGTTTTCTAATCAAATATTAAACAAAAAACTTAGAACACAAACTTCATACTTTATTATACATTGCAGCTAGTAAACTCATACAAATATTTTGATTGGATTTTGTGAACAATTATGTAAATTAGCATAATCGTAGCACTCTTTCATTAAATTGCTAGTTGACTTTGACGGGTTAGTGTTAATCAACAAATAACAAGCATCAACTATTTTGTTAGATAAATAAAATTTATAATGTATAATTATTATACAATGTTTAATTTTTTTTCTTACATCAATATAATTTTAATAAAACTATAATTTTAATAATAACTAAATTTATATATACTTCATTTAAGTGTTTTATATTTTAAGGACAATAATTGAGAATGAAACTTGTGACAGTTTTTTTTTTGTGCTAACTGTGATTTTGAACATTTATAATTAATATATTTTATATTTACTTATGTTAAATCTATTTATATATTTACTTTTAGTTTCTGTTTTTTTTTTTTTTAACTTAAATTTTCCATATATAAATTGCATTTCTGTTAAACTGAGGAGCAAATATGTTAAATATTAACATAGATATGTTAAAACTGGAACAGCAACCAGTAGATGCAACAAAAAAATACTAAACCATATTGAGACAGCTGTTAGCTGTGCTGTCATCATTTGCAGAGGAAGAAGAGGAAGAGAAATTCGCGTCTGAAAAAGTATAAATTGGCTTTCCAAAAGCAAGATGAGTTTCATGCAACCAAGTCCCGTGAAATACGCCTGCTCATGTGGCATTCTGAATCCGATTAATAAACTCTTCTTTTGTCGCCATTGTCCGAAGTTGAGATGTGGCTTCTGCGTCTGCCATGAAATTGAGTCACACTTCTGCTCGAACTGCCTGGAGAACATTCCATCGTCGGAGGCCAGGCACAAGAAGAACTGCTGTGCCAACTGTTTTGACTGTCCTTGCTGCCAGCACACGCTCTCCGCGAGGGCCACCACAGTGCCAGTTGTGCGCAAAACGGAGGAGCCGAAGGACGGGGAAAGTGCAACGGAGGCCACACCCAGTCCAAAGCCCTCGGCGATGCCAACGACGAAGAAAATGTATTATTTGTCTTGTCTGTCCTGCCGTTGGACTACCCGTGATGTGGGCATACCCGATCAAGGCGTAGCGACGGGCACTTGGCCGGACAAAGAATGCCTTTACCAGGTGCGTTTCAATACCTTGATGGAGTATTATCAGTCGCTGGTACTGCAGGAGAAGCAAGAGAAGCAGGAGTTTCTGCGCCGCAAGACGCCCAAGCAGCACAAGTTTCCTAGCCTGACCGATCGCACAGGCCTCACAGTCTCACTAATACGTCGCCAGATCGGCTGGAGCGACAAAAGCATACCGAAGACAAAGCCCATCAACATAGCGGCTGCTGAGGCCAGTGCAGACGTTGAGGCTCTGCCAGAGGACATCTTCACGCAGCCCATAAATCTGCGTAACATCACAACGGTGGCCCAGCGGCACAGCCAGCCCGCCGAGCAGCCCGAGGCTGTGAGCAAACTCTATCCGCAGCGTCGTTCGTTGTGGATCAAGCGTTCGCTGCGCTGTCGTCAGTGCGAGCACAATCTGATCAAGCCAGAGTATCATCCCACATCCATCAAGTATCGTATACAGCTCTTTGCGAGCTACCATGTGCCGGAGGTGGTCATGGTGCGCTGTGAGCAGCCGCTGCAGCCTGGCCAGGCCAATGCGATATTTCTGAAGTTCACAAATCCCACAATGTACGACATGACCATAAGTGTGTTGGATGTGGCACCGCAGGATGCTCAAATCAGCCCGGATACTTTTCAGCAGGCATGCCGCATCAAGGAGGAGGCGATCACATCATCGCCGCTGCTCAAAACAACGGGCATCACTTTGGCCCGTCAGAACTCGATTAGGGAAGTGAAACGTGATGTGCGTGAATTGACGAATGCGAAAATTGTGCCACTAGAAGGTCCATTTGTGCTGAACCAACGCGATGATTCCAAGGAATTCGACGAGGATGTCCAGGCACCCACCGAGGAGCCGAAGTTCATAGTTTGGCGCAAGGCCAACAAAGTATTAATTCGTCTCGAGTTTACTCCTGCAGCTGAGCTGCAGTCGGGCAACACTGTCACTCTGGGCTTCTATATGCAGTATACGTACGTGAACACCGTGTCCAACACGCCCGATAAGAAGGAGCCGACTACACATGCTCTCTACTCAAGGATCTTCATCGAAGCTGGCGACATAGCTAATGCAGTAGCCAATTAATCCAAAAACTTATCAACATTAAAAACGAGCTCTAATCATGCTAACAACATATTATATTGAAATGTATTTATGCAACTAATTTAATGGAAAAACTGTGTTAACCCAGGCATCTCCTGCATCCACTCGTAGTATATTAAATAAACGCCTACGCTCTAATTCAAATCACCTTTGGCGCACCTGTCCACTTTTCACTCTCCTGCCACAAGAACTGTGCGACTTTCTCGTCTAGGGCTACTTTCGCCACATTCTTTGGCTTGCAGTCACTGAAGTATTGCCCAGTGACGTCATCCAAGTCGGGATCTATAGCTGCATAGATTGTGGTTTGAGCTCCATTCTTGGGAGTCTTCAGGAATAGCCAAAACAGCGGTTTGATCGTCTTAAAACTGTAAGTTATAGTTAGGTATTATATATAAGCTATATAAGTATGCAATTTATTTTGTTTATTACCTTAAGACGCTGTCTTTTCCAATGTTATAGTTAGTCAATATGTCCGTATCCACTACGCCCGGATGCAAGGCATTGACGGTCACGCCTGTGCCGGCCAAGCGCTTGGCCAACTCTCGAGTAAACATGACGTTCGCCAATTTACTTTGATTGTACGATTCGCGATCGTCATAGGATTTCTCGAGATTCAAGTCGTCCACGTGTATTTTGCCTACGGTGTGTGCTAAGCTGGAAACATTCACTATGCGACTTGGCGCTGATTTCTATAAGATAAAACATTCTGTAATATAATATATAATCATATTAAGTGTCGTATACTCTTACCCTCAACAAATCTAGCAATAGAATTGTCAGCAGAAAGTGACCCATATGATTGACGCCCAGCTGCAGCTCGAAGCCATCCTGTGTGAGACGACGCGTTACAGAGTAGACGCCCGCATTGTTGATCAGAATATGCAGTTGATTCTGCTCGGCCTTGAAGCTAATATGACATAATAATACATAATAATTACCGGTTTGTTTATCAGGAACAAGTTTCGCTGCTCACTCACTCTGCCACGAATTTGCGCACTGATGCGAGCGAGCTTAGGTCGAGTTGAAGGAAGAATACGTTTTGGTTATTCGTCTCCCTGATGATTTGTTTACGCGCCTCCTCTGCGCGCTGCTTATCCCGGCAGGCCATGTACACCGTAGCACCCCGGCGGGCCAGCTCCAAGGCAGTCTCCTTGCCAATGCCTGCATTAGCGCCGGTTATAATTACAACTTTACCCGTCTCATCAGTTTCCTTTGTGAATTGGCCACCCTGCATGTACTGTCTAAGATAATATAAATATCACCTATAGTAAAAGTAAATAGGAAATCAATCTATAGCCAACCTGATAATGTAACCTGCAAACGCGATGGCTGTTGGCCATATTATGAACGGACTGAGTAGGCAATCGATGAATATACACATTTTTTTTGCTTTGAAGGTCTTCACTGGGCCAAGTCCAAACAATTACTAGCTCCGAACGGATTTAATTTCGACATAAGTACGAGCCCAGTCGATAACGTTCGCAATCACTGCACAGTGGTTCCGCTTATATGACGCTGGTGGCCAAAAATAGCTAGCTGAAATTTGTTTCTGGGTAGTACAGATGTATTTCGATGGCAAAAAGTGAACGTTGAAAATGTACTGAATGCATTTCTTAAGGTCAATCGCATTAGCTTTCTAGCCTTTTCCTATTATGTTAAGTTCCAGCAAATTATAAATAATTTGCATTTTTTCGGCATTCGTGCCCTTTTCTAGTCACCGTGAAAACCCACAGTTAAAAGATGCTCTCATACAATAAAAATATAAAAAAAAAAAACATTTGCAAAGCAAATACCAATTAGTAAAGTAAGCTCAACATGAAAAAAACAAGGGCGTTCTCGACTAGGAGATACCCTGAACCAGTGTGCACTGTGCAGTGGACAAATAAATAGTAAAGTTTGAGATAACGAGTAACTCTTACACACACACATATGTATTACACACATATGTATTATACAATAATATATTTTAATCTGATTTCCTTGTGTAGGTCACTCTCACGCTCTCTTCCCACAGCTGCTTGGCGGACTGATTATCCATAGCAGCGGGCGCTACCTTCTTCTCTTTGCAATCGCTGAAGTAGACGCCAGACACTTTTTCCAAATCTGGATCGAGAGCTGCATATAGTGTGGTCTGAGCTCCGCTCTTCGGTGTCTTCAGAAATGGCCACAATAAACTTCTGATCACAATGCGTCCAAATGTGCCGTTCAATATCTTCATGTGCCTGCCCAGCTCAGTGTCCACAACGCCCGGATGCAGAGCATTCACGGTCACTCCAGTGCCCTCGAGGCGTTTGGCCAATTCACGTGTAAACAAAATATTGGCCAATTTACTTTGGCTGTAGGCAGCGCCCGGATCATAGTACTTCTCGCTGTTCAAGTCGCTAAAATCAATACAGCCACGCGTGTGGGCCAAGCTGGAAACGTTGACAATGCGGCTGGGTGCACTTTTCTGTGACAAATCAAGTTTCAAATCAATAAGTTGAAGCCCCTCAATTAAATATAAACTAGTTTACCTTTAGCAAATCGAGCAGCAGGTTGGTGAGCAGAAAGTGACCCAAGTGATTCACTCCCAGCTGCATTTCGAAGCCATCCCTGGTTACCATGTAGGGGCAGCGCATAACACCCGCATTGTTAATGAGTATGTGCAGCTTGTCTTGCTCCTTTTTGAAACTAATAAAAATGTCAGTTCAAAATAAAATTATTCATTAAAAATTCAGTAAATGCTTACTCAGCCGCAAATTTGCGAATAGATGCCAGAGATGCCAGGTCAAGTTTGCGGAAGAATATATTCTTGTTCTTGGTTTCTTCTATAATTTCGAGACGTGCCTGCTCTGTTTTAGCCTCATCCCTGCAGGCCATATAAACAGTGGCGCCACGTCGAGCCAGCTCCAAGACAGTCTCCTTGCCAATGCCAGTATTTGCGCCAGTTACAATCACAACTTTGCCGGTTTCATTAGTCTGCTTGGTGAACTGCCCGCCCTGCATGTACTTTCTGAAAAACAAAGAGAACAATTTGTTATTAATGATGTACATAAAATGTTTACATATATTATCAATTAGCACTGATTATACCTAAGAAAATAAATACCAAGGCCAAAGAGTGCGGGCCAGGCGATGCAGAGGCACGAATCACAATCAGTTAGAGACCACATAATTGCTTAAACAAATTATTAACTACTCGTCACAGAGGCAGTCAGAGCACAACTGATGTGAATGCTACTGCGTATAACGAATGTGAGTCAACGATTCCGACTGATAAAACGACAGTCACGTCGCTTACTAGTTGCGAGAAATGTGAGCTCAAGCATACAATAATGTTGAAATCGATAGATATACAAATTTATTATGTACAGTTAGAATTAAATAATCAGAATGAATTTATACTACATTCTCCAAAGAGTAACTGCATTTTATTCAGTCTTTACATCTAGTATCTCTGCACGTGTCCACTTCTCGCTTACGGCCCAGAGCCATTTGGCGACTTGCATATCAGTTGCTGCAGGCGCTGGCTCTTGAATCTTACAGTCGGCGAAATATGCACCGCTTACGCCTTCCAAGTCCGGATCGAGAGCAGCATATAAAGTAGTTTGTGCCCCGTTGCGCACAGATTTCACAAATGGCCAAAACAGGGGACGAACAAATAAGCTGCAATTTAAATCGGTTATCGAACTGAGAATCCAACTGCTACAGTTTATATCCATCTATAAATACCCTGCAAAGAAGTTGCTAAAGAAGCTCATGTGTCTGAAGATATCGGTGTCCACTATGCCTGGGTGCAAAGCGTTCGCCGTGACTCCAGTTCCCTCTAAGCGGCGGGCCAATTCTTTTGTAAACAAAACGTTCGCTAGCTTGCTCTGATTGTAAGCCTTAGCCTCATCATAGGACTTTTCACTATTCACATCCGTCATGTTGATTTCACCGCGCGTGTGCGCCAGACTAGAGACATTTATAATGCGACTGGGAGCCGATTTCTACGATATACGTGAATGTAAATACTTGGGGAACATAGCTGCGCCAATTATTATACCTTGAGGATGTCTAGCATTAAGTTGGTCAGTAGAAAGTGACCCAAGTGATTGACCCCCAGCTGCATCTCAAAGCCATCAGCGGTCAGCGTGCGTGGACACCGCATGACACCTGCATTATTGATGAGTATGTGGAGCTTCTCCTGTTCCCGTTTGAAACTGCAAGCAATCAACAATTGTTTAGGGCTTGCTCGAAATCAACAGGTGAACAACAGATGGGACCTACGTGGACACAAAGTTACGTATAGAATCCATGGAAGCTAAATCACATTGCCGGCAATACACATATTTGTTTTTCGTCTCTAGGACAATCTCCTCTCGTGCTTCTTCGCACTTTTTCATATCCCGACAGGCCATATAGACTGTGGCTCCCCTCCTTGCCAGCTCCCGCACAGTTTCCTTGCCTATGCCCGTGTTGGAGCCGGTCACTATAACGACTTTGTTGCTTTCATCGGTTTCTTTTGTGAAATTGGTGCCTTGCATAAGATCCCTTCAGGTGGGAAATATTTTTGTTTGTTTTCATCATATTATGACTTAAACGAATGGCAACATACTTTACAAAACAAGCGCCACCCACTGTAGTTCCAACGACGCTCAACCAGAAAACTGGGCGACTCTTCAGAAATGAAGAAAACGACATTTTATACGCGGATATAATAATAAACACGGGTGTGAACAGTTCTACGTGCTATTATGCATAGATGTGCGTTCGCGATGTCCATGGGTTTATCGACGTTAAAATACCCTGGGACGAACGAAGACTGCGATTAGGAGCTCTTTATTCATCGCGAAGTCAAGCAATTACTGTGTTTAAATATTTTGATAAACATTTTTTTTAATGAAACTAACATCTTTGTAATAAGACGGCTTGATGAGCGTATTGAAAATACCTATTTAAATTGTGAGCTCATTATGTTCCTGTCTAGGGTATTCGGCCCAGGGTTGCTACTCATTAGACTTTATAAATTTAAATTTTAATAATTATACTTACTTAATATATGACACTATTAGATCTATTCCCACGAACCAAGCCACCCACGACCAGAAAATACTGGCAAGAATTTTAATCATTTTTAGAAATATGTTTGATTTAAGCGCAAATTAAAAACAATCTCTTCCTCTTTGTTTAAATTAAAATAAAAGAACAGGGTGTATCAAGTGCACACAAATTTGTCAGCCAGAGACGTGGGTTTGTTGTGTTTATTCAATAACGAAATTTTACGTAAATAAAGTAAACGTTTGCTGGCAGCACTGTTCACGAATATATAATATTGTTTGCTATTTGAGAGTTGAGTGACAGTACAGTCAGTGCCAACGGAGACGCACTCAATAATAAACAATTAATCCAAAATATAATGCGTCGAAATGTGTAAGTCAACGCCAACTCGACTCGATTCGAGTCGATGTCTGCTGCCTGAGAATCAACGCATGTTTCATATTTCATATTCCATATTTCAGGCGCCAACAACAGTATAACTGGGAGAATGCGAAATCAGACGGTATGGATGATATATATGCTGCGCCCGCTATCGACGATGCATTTATGGAAATGGTGCAGTTCGCAAACGGACCTGGTAACGGCCACACGAAGATGCCGCGCTCAGAGAACACCTTGGAGGTAAAAGTACAGGAGGGAGACACATTGCAAGCATTGGCGCTGCGCTTTCACTGCTCTGTGGCGGACATCAAGCGCTTGAACAAGATTGATCGGGACAATGAGATACACGCGCATCGAATTATTCGGATTCCAGTTACAGTGCACAACGTACTGCTGGGGGCAAGTAATGCGGATGCGCTGCCTGCCGTTCATCGTAGTGGGAACAATAGTCCCAGGCACAATCTTGATCAAGAACCGGCCATTGAGCGTAATCCACTGGAGGATGCACGCATGATGCTGGATGAACGCCTTTTGGTGGCTGCTGTGAATGCTTCTGGTACTGTAGCTGGCGAAGTTCCAGCATCAGTTCGAAGGGATGGCAGTAAATTCTATGATGGCAGATCGGGTTATCCAGATGATGAGGGTGAGTATATTATTTATTTTTTTATGATAAGGTGGCTGGCATTTAGTTATCATATATTTAAAAATTCCAATGTGAATGCTTAACAGCTCTTAGAGCTGGCCAACCAAGCAAAGTAATTTTGCATTTGAGTCGCCCTGTATATATGTTAAGTCTTCTGTTAAGTAAGCAGCGAAGTTGGGCGCAGACAGCAATTTGTTTAGTCATTGGAAATACGGCCACACTCGTCATTAAAAATTGCCAGAAAACAGAAGCGTTGGCGATAAAAAACACATAAATTTATTAAATATTTCGCTGTTGAACAACTAAAACAAGATGCCGGACTATCTGGGAGATGATCAGCGTAAAGTTAAGCATGACGAGAATAAGGAGGATAAGGAAATTAAATCGCTAGACGAAGGCGACATCGAATTGCTTAAAACGTACGGGCAGAGCCAATATCACAAGTCCATAAAAAATATCGAAGAGGACATACAAAAAGCCGTGAAACAAGTAAACGAGTTAACTGGCATTAAGGAGAGCGATACAGGCTTGGCTCCGCCTGCTCTGTGGGACTTGGCAGCCGACAAGCAGATACTCCAAAATGAGCAGCCTTTGCAGGTTGCGCGTTGTACAAAGATTATCAACGCTGACTCCGATGATCCCAAGTACATTATTAATGTGAAGCAGTTCGCCAAGTTTGTGGTAGACCTAGCTGATTCCGTTGCACCTACGGACATTGAGGAAGGCATGCGTGTAGGCGTTGATCGCAACAAGTATCAGATTCACATACCGCTGCCACCCAAAATCGATCCCACGGTGACGATGATGCAGGTCGAGGACAAGCCAGATGTCACCTACAGCGACGTCGGTGGCTGCAAGGAGCAAATTGAGAAATTGCGCGAAGTTGTAGAGACACCGCTGCTGCATCCTGAGAAGTTCGTCAATCTGGGCATTGAACCCCCCAAGGGCGTGCTCCTGTTCGGTCCACCTGGTACGGGAAAAACTCTATGTGCCCGTGCTGTGGCTAATCGCACAGATGCTTGCTTCATTCGCGTCATCGGCTCTGAGCTGGTGCAGAAGTATGTGGGCGAGGGCGCACGTATGGTGCGTGAACTGTTCGAGATGGCCCGTTCCAAGAAAGCTTGCTTGATATTCTTCGATGAAATCGATGCCATCGGCGGAGCACGCTTCGATGACGGTGCTGGCGGCGACAATGAGGTTCAGCGTACTATGTTAGAGCTAATCAATCAGCTGGACGGCTTCGACCCGCGTGGCAACATTAAGGTTCTGATGGCCACCAATCGGCCCGACACACTTGATCCTGCGCTTATGCGTCCCGGCCGTTTGGATCGTAAGGTGGAATTTGGATTGCCCGACCAGGATGGCCGTTCACATATCTTCAAGATTCACGCCCGCTCAATGTCCGTGGAACGTGACATTCGTTTCGATCTGCTGGCACGTCTGTGCCCCAACTCGACCGGCGCTGAGATTCGGTCCGTGTGCACTGAGGCGGGCATGTTTGCCATACGTGCCCGCCGCAAGGTGGCCACCGAAAAGGATTTCCTTGAAGCTGTCAACAAGGTTATCAAGAGCTACGCCAAGTTCAGCGCCACTCCACGTTATATGACCTACAATTAAGTTTACGTTTTATATATCCTCAATTCTCTTTCGTTTGCTACGCTGTGAGCCTTTAAGTCTGCTACTGTAACTGCTCCAGCTGGGCAAACAGTAAATAAAAGATCCAAAATATATAGTATACACCATTATTCCGGGGGCTTCGATTGCCTTTCTTTTCTTGATGCGTTTATTTGTGTAATTTTGCATTTCACTTTTGTTTACACGCAGTCAACATGGATAAACCCTTGGACGACAGCACGGCTCTGCTGGATGACATGCTGGTGGACAGGCATGCGCCCATTGTTCGCCCCATTCCTGGTCCGTCGTTGCGGGCGATCGACTGGTCTGGCTCTGACTGTGACATGTCGTGGATATGCCTGTTGATATTTATACTCGCACTCTGTGTTGTCATCCCGTTGGTCTATGTCATATACCTGGCGGAGCATCCACATCACAATCATACCACATAGCCGAAATGAATGAACATCCGCTCGTTCCATTCCAAGTGTGCTACAATCTGAACTCTTCCCCCTCCCTCTTACACTTCTTAGCTCCAAGACCAATGCATTTCAAATGCAGCAGCTGCGAGCCATAGAATTTATTTTTATACAAATATTTAATTCATAGAAATAAAGTACCAATTGTGACTTGTACAATATCTACAAAATAATATAGACTTGAATTGATAGCCAAATCTCAACTGATGATTATTTTAACTGTGGTAAAACAATAATTAATCGTTTCTTTATTGGTACATAACACTAGTATGTATAACAGTTTATTGGTACACGACACTCTATGTATAACAGTTAAATATATTGGGTCGATCGATATCGATATAGGGGTCATTTTAAATGGGGCTTTTGAGTAGCTTAAAGCAAATACATATATATTAAATATTTTTATTAATAGTATCCATGGATATAATAAGTAATTATGTTTAGCTATAATAAATACAAATTAAAATCAAACTATTCGCGCACACTGGGCGTAAAATATAGTTCTAAGTACTGTCTTGAATACTTGATATAATATTCTCCTCTGTGGCCATGGCACATGGTTATCGATATTTGGTGTTCGTTTTGGTATGCGGGATGCTGTGCGCCATTATTGTGCATATTCCTTGACTCACGGCGGAATATCATCCAATGGCGTTTGTACAGCGTAAATTCAATTCAATTCAATATTCACTTAAACTTTAAGTTCTCAAAGAAAGCAATATTGCTGCGAAGGAATCCTCGACGGACGGGCACAGGACTCGCTGGCGATGCAATGGGTATGGCTGACGGTAGCCCATCCGAGTGCATTGAAGGATCGCTGTCAGTGTTGGTAAACGTTAAAATTAATGTCCAATCATATCAGCAGGGCTACCTACGTTTCCAGGGAGGATAAATCGGAGGCTATGGTGGATTCATCGGCCACCTCGGCCATGGAGACGGCGTGCTGCAGCATTTGCCTGCGCGACTGCGGCGTGCCGGGCTTCTCAGGTGTAACGGGCGTATCAGGTGCTGATTTCATTAGCCTGGCCTGATGCTGCAATGTCTGAAATGTGAACTATAAGTGAACTGTACAATTGGATATATGTAATGTCATTTACCTTGGCGCGCCAACGTCTCTCGGGCTGCGTGCGTTTGCTGGTGAGCAGGAAGGCTTGCGCCAGAGCCTTGACCGAGGGCAAGGCATGCACCACATCATCCTCAACAGCGGGTTTCTCTGAGGGCGCAGCTTTTACCTCGGGCTGGGAAAATAAATGAAATTCTTATGATTCGCTCACCTGGCAGCTGCTTGACTCACCATTTCATCATCGTCTATGGACAGCACTTGACTTGGCTCAATTAGCCGTCGCTTCGGCTGCAGAAAACGAAAAGCTGGCGGCGTGGAGCCCCGCGTCGGTGTCACCGTGGGCGAGGAGCAGACATTGGGCGTGCTGTCCGCAGGCCCAAATTGCAGCACTACGGGCCGTTCACGTTTCCGTGATGCATCTATGGAGTTGCTATTGCTGTTGCCGTTGCTGTTGCTGTCGTCGACGTCGGCGGCGGCGGAGGAGGAGGAGGTGTTGGTAGTGGCTGCTCCGCCCAGTGCCGACTCCATAGATGACGTAGTTGTGGACGTGCTCGTCTTAATGACTGTCGTCTCCTGCTTATTGAAATCGTAAACACGCACGGTATCCGAATCATCGCTAGTCGTCAGCACTGACTGATTCGATTGGCTATCCAGGCTGCCCGCCTCCAGCACCTGGGCGGGCACAGCTGTATAGATACTTTTGTTGTCACCAGACATATCGGGGAGTGTATCCTCCTGTTTCTGCTGCAGTTGCTCCTGTGGCTGCTCGACGGCCTTTTGGCTTGTTTTGTGAGCCTTTTTTAAGGAAAACATTGATTTTTTTTTGGGTTTTGGGTATTTCGTGTTCGTTTGTTGTGTTGTATTGTATTGTTTAGGTACATTTGGTAGATTTGGTACAATATTGTATGCATGTTGGTTAGTTTTTGGAAAAAAGAATTTGTTTAGGTACAATCAAATATTGGAAGCACAGCTGAATGTTAGCTTGGCAGATCGATATATTTATATATGTATATGGACATATATATGGATTGTGATGTGTACATGTGATGCATATGTGTGAGTGTGTTGGTGTGTGTGATTGATTGATTGATGTACAAGCAGCAGCAACAGCATGCATACAAAATTCAAATACAGCTACAAAAACATTAAAAATTTCTATTGATGCGAGTTATATATTGTATTTATATATAGCAGAAAGTGAAACAAATGCTGTTAGTAAAATGCCAAACACATACAATAATTATTTAAATAAAGATTCACTCGATTCCTCGATTGGCTTTGTACTCACCCCGCAATTAGCAAGCAGCTTTTTTACTAAAAACATTTGTTTCATTTTTTCGACTTTTATTATTTGTGTTTGTTTAACTTTTGGCTTTATTTTGTATTTCTATTGTTTGTTGTTTTTAATATATATTTATATGTATAAAAAGAAGTTAGAAGTAAAATGAATAAACTATGTGTGCATACAAGAGTTATTTTTTAATAATTTTTTAAAATTAACAGCAACAAAATCAGATTTTAAATAAAAATAAACATATAAAGAAAATAGTGCTGCGTATTTTAGAGCGCATTAGCATTAGGCAATTAGCAATTACAATTATTTGTTGTTGTTTAAGATATTTCTATATGTATATTATATTGTAGATTAGATAGAACTCAGTTCTCGATAGTAATGTGAATGCAAAAAATTTGTTTGTGCTGCAGTTCATTAGGATTTTTTGTTGTTGTTGGGGGTAGGGGGAATTTTGGAATGTACAATTGAATTGGGGAGCAGATGGCACGGTCTGCCTTAAAGCCTAAAACGTGCTGGAGATTCTCTAAATCATGTGAATTTGTGCCTCGTTGCGTGGGTGTGTACGTGTGTGTGTGTGCGTGTTGCCTTTACTGACTAGTGTTTAAAACTTGGTTGACTAACATATTATTTTGGCAGAGACTAACAGCTAACTATCCACTCTCTCTCTATTAATATATGTATATGTATATATAGGTACCCCGAAATATATAGACCCATTACACCCACCCGATTTGAAGAGGAGCTTTGAGCTAGAAGAGTAGACTATTATTACTGAACCCATTTAAACAACTATCAACACCCGAATCCTGATCGTCTAGGCTAGCTGGCTTTGTGGGCTGATCGTTCTCGAATAGCGGATTCATGACGAAATCCTTGGATGTGGCACTGACAGCACGAAAACTATTGCGCTTGAGGTCTTTGTGCAGCAGCTGCTTCTCGAACTGAGTGAGCACAGCCGCCGAAGGACCACCCGCCGAATGCCGCTTGGACACGGACGAACCGAAGGATCTGCCACTGCCGTTGCTGTGCAGGCTCAGCGTCGACTCTGTATGCCGCTTGGGCAGATGCTGTCTATGCCAGGAGTGCTGCGAACGTACGTCAAAGTCATCATCCGGCTCGTTGCCCAAGCCGGAGTCGCGATATTGCGAAGCGGACGTCGAGGGGCGTTCGTAACCGTTGGCTAATGTCAGAAATGGGGGAGTGGGGCAAGTAGGTTTGTTAATGAACTTTAGCGAGCTGCTGCGACGCACTGGCTTCGACAGCGTCCAATGTGAGAGGTCAGCGAGGTTTGAGCTTTGAGCGCTACTTGAAATGCCATGGTTGCCATGCGTTGGAATTACCTCATTGATGACAATGTCCTCATCCGTGGGCTCCGTGCTCCTGTTGCTGCTGCTGCTGCATGCCAAGGAGGTGCCACGAGTGGGCGTGGTCGCCAATGGAGCATTGTTTATATAGTAATCACGACTGTATCTGTGGAATAGAACGACAAGTTTAGATTAGACTCGCAATTTCTAGACGAGTTGAGTGGAGTTACCGCTTGTAATCCTCCTTGGCTGGTTCCTGGTCCGTGTTGGATGCCGCATTTGTCATCAGTGCCAGAGCCTTCTTCTCGGCACTGGGACTGATATTGGGCACATCCATCAAGCGTTCCTGTGTACCGCTAATGCGTTGCTTCAAAGCCTCCGGCGCATACGGATTGTTGGGCATCTCAACGGCATTATACCATTTCTTTACCTCACGTTCCGCGATGGAGCCTGAAAATGTGTGGATAATATGTTTAAGTGGCTATAATTAAAGCAGTCTTAGACAACAATTTAGCTAGTCTAGTAAAAAAAATATAAAGTGAGAAAGACAGATATAGATATATGTATATATAGAGAGAGCGTATAAACGTAAACACAAGTAAGCTATGTAAATTAGGAGACAACAACAAACACCGAGTGATGGCTGTGTGCGTGTTACCTGGGGCAAAGCGCCGCAACATTACAACATCATCATCATTATTATTATTAACATCATCATCGTCAACACCATCATCGATAACAACTTCATTATTATTATGATCATCGGCATTTAGTTGATTTGTTTTGCTTTGACTTGACCATCTCAGTGAACCATTTGTTAGTTTACCATTTGAACGTGTTTTGGTATTTTTGTTAGTATTTTGTGTTTTAGTATTTTGGTTAGTATATGTTGCTGTTGTACTAGAGACTGCCTCATCCAATATTTCATCGGGACAACTATCATTATTGGGAGCCAATAGCTCGGCGTCGCCATTAAAAGTCTCATGAGAGGTGGACGGCGAGCTCTCATTGCTGTGCTCTGACCGAGAGCCGGAGCTCAATTGATCTGAGAATAGAATGTGGTTAATAAAGTTAAAGCCAATCTCTCTTAGGCTAACAACAATGAAATAGTTCTCATCATTATTATCAATAGTATCTAATGATGTTTGGCTGGCAATATCTGAAGCTACATCAAAATCTGGAAGAATCTCTATCATATTGCTGGGATTATTTACGTCTAAATGATAATCTGGCTCTTCGATCTGGTCATGACTGAAATCATCTACAGCTAGTCGAAAGTTATCATCTAACTCAGCAATACATTTTTTCTTATTATCTATGTCTAAATGGCTTTCTGGCTCTTTCACATCATCAATATTTATATCTAAGCTAATGGGCTGATTGGCTGCTGAATTGAGTTCATCGAACAGACTCGCATGTGCTTCATATTCTATATCATCTGGCGGCTCATCGAAACTATCAAAGGAACTCAGGTATTTGTGCATAATTAAGGCGCGTTGGCTTCTTCTTTCGATTGTGGCTAACAGTCGTTTGTCTTTAATGTAAATCTTGCAAATGGTTCCGAAGAGGTTCACAGGACGCACAGGACTCGCAGTTGAGTCTTCATCGCTCGGTGTTGTCTCTGCTCGGATTTTCGGCTGCCTTTGCAGATGTTTCTCAGACAGTTTTACTAGAGCACTATTTTTGCTCTTACAAGATTCACTTGGCAAAAGATCTGGTAGTGCTTCATCAGTCTGTATTATCAGTTTATCTGTTTCAATGGTTGACTTGGGTTTTTCGCATGCAACTTCCTCAGATTTAGACTCTGTTGTAATGTCAGTACTAGCAACCTCCTCAAGTGCTGGTGCTGGAGTTTCCTCGGATGCACTCAGAGATGCTGCAATGTTCTCCTCAATTGTCACTGCTGGATGTTGCTCTGAAACAGACTGTGACTCGGTACCAACAACCTCCTCAAGTGCTGGCGCCGATGTTTCCACTGTTTTAATATTAATAATCTCTTCTTGTGCAGCTGCCGTAAATTTCTCTGATTCAACCTGGGACTCTGCTGCGATACTTTCCTCCTGAGCTGCAATTTTCCCAGGATCAGCACTAGCAACCTCCTCAAGTGCTGGTGCTGACGTTTCCTCGGATGTCACTGCTGGATGTTGCTCTGAGACAGACTGTGACTCGGCACCAACAACCTCCTCAAGTGTTGGCGGCGATGCTTTCTCTGATTCAGGCACTGTTTTAACATTAATAATCTCTTCTTGTGCTGCTGCTGTAGATTTATCTGATTCAACCTGGGACTCTGTTGTGGTAATTTCTTCCTGAGCTGCAGTTTTCGCAGGATCAGCACTAGCAACAGGGGTTACCTCCGTAGCACTGGTGTTGCTCGTTGGTGTTGGACTAAGTGCATCCTCGATTGTCACTGCCGGATTTTCCTGTGAGACAGACTGTGAATCGACACCAACAACCTCCTCTGCTGTAGTTATTTCTGCTGCAGTAATTTCCTCTGGAACTGTAGTTACTTCTGCTGCAGTAATTTCCTCTGTATCTATAGTTACTTCTGCAGGAGTTTTTTCCTCTGCAGCTGTAGTTGTTTCTGCAGGAGTTTTTTCCTCTGGAGCTGTAGTTATTTCTTCTGCAATAATTTCCTCTGGAACTGTAGTTACTTCTGCTGCAATAATTTCCTCTGGAACTGTAGTTACTTTTGCAGTAGTAACTTCCTCTAAAGCTGTAGTTACTTCTGCAGGAGTTTTTCCATCTGGAGCTGTAGTTACTTCTGCAGGAGTAACTTCCTCTAAAGCTGTAGTTACTT